AATCTAGAAGTTTTGGACGAGACAGACGTCAATGTTGACGACAGCAAACATAAAATAATAATACAATAGAAAGCGACATTGCATTCAAGAAGAGAAGTGGTAAATTAAAGCACAAAAGATACCTAAATTAAATACAGAAAAAGAAAATATTTTTCTAATAAATCAGACAAAGTCTATTAGAAATGTCGTCAGCCGTCACTCTGTGCCATAAATATAAAATTCGAACATCATTGCAATTAATGAAAAATGTATTGAGTGTAAAAATTTTGTTTGTTTTACTTGCGATAGTTGGATTATACCCAAAGATTTTACAACAACGACAGTGTTAAACAACGATTTTATTTGTGATATTTGTTTTGGTAAGTAGACCTTTAATTTCGTTTTCTCTTTATTTTTTACGGTACATAAAGTGTTTATTGTAAAAGTAAAAAAAGTAAAGTTACAGCCTATATACATCCCACTGCTGGGCTCAGGCCTCCCCTCATTTCTGAGAGGTATATTGTAAACTATGCCTAAATTTTTCCATACACTTCCGCTGAGTGACAGTCCCCCTATTTTATTTAATGTTTTTATTGTTAAATAAAAAAAGATATATCATATATTTAATTAAGATTAACCTTCTCGATACTTGTATTTAATTACTTGTTTAAGTTTTAATTTAGATCTCGTTTTTTGCCAAATAAACAAAACTTTATTATGTTAATTTAATCATAGTGTAACTCAGAAGATAGAAAATTATGTTTCTTTTTATGTTTGAATAATGTTTTAGAAATTTTTGAGAGAATTTAAAATAATATGTTTAGTTTCTTTAATAAATAACGATTGTTAATTGTACTTTTCTTTTAATTTACCTATAAACGGGAGTACTTAATGTGTAACGCAGACAAAGAAGATTTCATATCTTGTCCATTCAAATTGCAATTTTGTCAAATTCTACCGCATTTTCTCTTATTTTTTGTTATTATAACAAAATTTAGATAATATAGAGTCAATCTGAAGTAAGAAACCCCCAATATCATGACAATTTTTTTTGGCGTCATTTTGTCACCATACAAACTTTTATAAAACCGCCCATTAACCCTCCTCCCGTATTATTGTTTAGAATTTCATGCTGGAACCACACTGTATGTTTGTGTAGTGTTGTGCGAAATAGACGCTTTCATTTATCATTCCGGTAGCCCGGTACCAATATTTAATTTGGTTTGGTGTTGTATTTTGCGGAATAGACGCTTTTACATCTTGTTTGTTAAAATGCCGAGGCGTTGTACTATTGGATGTAAACCCACTGGTAAGTAGATCTTATCTTCCGATCATGAAAATTAGTTTTACCTAAATTTTACCTACGCTTTAGAAATTTTAGACCGGTCACGTACGGGCTAACACTGACATTTTTAGTGAAATTAGTAATAAATTAATAATTTTTGTAGTTGCATTTGAACATTATCTCACCGGATAGTTATTAAATATTTTATGACTTCTACGACTAGGGCTGCCATCGCCTATTCGGACTACTCGGACATTTTATTGAAATCGAGCTTTTAAAAAAGCAGTTTAAGTTATCCTTTAAGTAAAATATAATATAGTTGTCGATTTATTTATTTTTCTTTCAGAGACTTGTGACTTGACTAATTGGTTCGGGACAACCAATTAGTTCTCCGATGGACGGCAGCCTCCTCGTATCTACACCGAGCGCATGCCAAAAATTCTCGGGAATGTTAGACATGACCAGGGAAAGACTCACAGAATACCAGCATAAAAAGAAGCTTAATGCTTCCATGCTTCATATGATATTTGGTTAACTTTTTGTGTTGTTTGAAATTTAGCCAGTATAATACAGGCTATGAGGCATTCCATCTTAGTCCACAGAGAGGTGACATTGCAATTGTAGCCTTCTTTCTCCGAAGTTGGTTGCGGATGTTTATGGGCTACATTAGCAACTTACTATCAGGTAGACTATCAGCTTGTTTGTCACTTCAATTCTATATAATATGTTATGTAGAAGTCAAACTTGAACTCATTACAAGAATAAAAATATAAACCTCTAATTTTAATAATGTATTACTTTAATTCATTGTTTTATTTGATTATCAGGCTGGAAAAGTAACTTACCATCAGGGGTAGCATCTGAAAAATATAGAGTCTACCAACAAAATATAAAGAATTTAAGAAGACAGGTTTACCGTCTTAGAAAAGAGGGAAAATATATAAAGTCACGGCTAGAAAATCCAGAAAAATTATTTAATAAATCTGATTTTTGAAAAATTTGTAAAGGATATGAAACCAGCAGCAAAAGTTTTTGCGAATATGCAGTATTATCAGGCCCAGAAGAAACCAACTGGTCGGCGTTTTAAAATTGAAGACAAAGTTCTTTCTCTTTCTTTATTTAAAAGAAGTCCGAAGTGTTATGCCCTAACGTCAAAACATTTTATACTCCCTTCGACTAAGTATTTAAAGCTGTTGCTTGCGAAAATTGAATTTGGTGCTGACATTAATGAAATAGTTTCCGAAAAACTCCACAAAACTATCAACAATTTGACACTCAAGATAAACTGTGTACAGTTATATTAGATGAGATGTCGATTACACCTCAAATTCATTATGACTCATCGAAAGATGAATTAAAAGGATTTGCTAGTCATGGTAAAAACCTAATAGCATACCATGCTCTCGTATTTATGATTAAAGGCATAAGGAGACTGTATAAACAACCTGTTGCATATTATTTTACAAATTCATTAAATAAGTTTGAATTAAAAACATCTATAAAGAAGTCATCAAGAATGTTCAGAACAGTGGATTAGTTGTATTAGCTACTGTTTGTGATCAAAGCACAGTAAATGTGGGAACCATTGAGGAGCTAACACAAGAAACCAAAGCTAACTATTTAAGGAAAGGGAACAATGTGGCTCATAATTTTTTTTTGAACTTAATGGAAAAAATTTTTTCCATTATATGATGTTCCTCATTTAATGAAAAGTTTGAGAAACAACCTCCTGACAAAAAATATATGTTGGTTATGGAGATGGCAATAAAACAAAAATAGTAAAATGGGACTATATACAGCAATTATATGCAGCAGATAAATCTTTTGGTGAGCTGAAATTTCTCCAAAAACTTACAGAGAAACATGTAGTTCCCGAAAAGATTAAAAAAATGATGGTTAAGACAACACAGATATTTAGCCACAGTGTTGCAGTTACTACTGAACACTTGACAGCAGGGATATTTACCCGCAGAGTGTCGGGACCTCATTCCAATTACGGTGATATTAGATAATTTATTTGATAGCATGAACTGTAATTCATTTAAAATCACAAATGGGAAAATTTACAAGGCGCCTGTAACAAGGACCACACGATCAGCTGTGGCAAAAAGCTATAAAATATTTAAAAGGTATTCAATTTCAAACTCTGAAGAAAGTGGGTAGTAAAATTCAAATATGTGAAACAGTTGTACCATCTCTGACAAATTTTGTTAAAACTATATAAGGCATTCAAGAATTGTGGAAAATTTTATCACAAAAATATTGTTTTGACTCAATGTTCACGAGAAATTTCAATCAGGACCCATTGAGAATTCTTTCGGAAGTGTCAGAAATTGCGGGGCAAGAAACACTGCACTTAATTTAGTAGCATTGGAAGGTGCCTTTAAAACTCTGTTGCGCGTTCGTGCCGGCTTGCGGACGCTCGGTAGTTAGGAAGGAGAGGGGATGTACCTACTAATGGTGGTTAATATAGCGCATAGCGCCACATTATAGCGCGCTATCTCTCCATAACACATAGCGCGTGCTATGTAAGTAGTCGCCATGGCGCTATGACGCTTTGGCGCTATTCATATCTAGTGGCAATTAGTTCTAGCTAGACGTGAGTCGTTACATCATTTTCAAGAAACGTAACGAAACCAGTGACTTGATCGGCGTCACCTGTTTCAAAACTAGTGAATTTTGTAACTGGCTATTTTTATTCGGCTACTGTGATTGTTTGCATAAATATCACCACCAACTATACAGTTACACACGAAACGAAAATAAATTTAATCACAATCTGTGTTTATAGCTATACAGTAACTGTATACTGTTAAGTGAATAAATTAACTTCCCTTCATACTTTATTCAGGTTTAGGACTGACTGCATTAAATGTATTTATGATTGATTTGCGTTTACTATGACACTAAGATTTTCATAAAATTATTAATGCAGGCTTATTTACAAGTCAATTTGATTGTATATACAACGATTATTGATATTTACGGTTTATTTACACTTTTTCAACGTTTTCACTATCATTTGTTTTTGCACTTTTATTTACACTGTACAATTAATTTGTTTGTTTGTTTGGCTATTTACACACAGTTTTTAAGTTTTATAATATTATAAACATTTAAATTTTTTATACATATTTTTTAGTTCTAATTTAATTTTACGAATAAACGAGTTCATGACTCCGTCAAAAATGAGATTACTCTATTTTATTGTCTATGTCTATAGTCTTACGTATGAAAATTAAACGTACAATAATACTGTTACTTACGACGTTTTGTTTATTGTTGTCGACCGACCGACAGTGGACTCTCGCAATAATCATAGTTAACAGTAATCATAATCACGCATTTACAAAAATCACTACTTGTAACATGACTCGAAACTAGTGATTCGGTTACATGCCGCGTAGCCAGTCACTGTATCTGGTGACGTGAAATAACGCCCACGTCTAGTTTTAGCAGCAGCACTGTTGGGAGTAGACGCGTGACCAGGGCCAGTCAACTTCCTAATAAGAGATTGGTACCGGGAGATGACCTTGGGGGGCTTTAAAGAAGCGAGATGGATTAATATCTATCTCCCTCGCACTTTATGTTATCTTGCCATGAAAGAAATATTATTTTAAATGACACATCATTTTAATCATTTTTTTTATTTAATAATTATAATACTTTATTATATAATATATTTCGTTAAACATATATTTATTACGTCTTTATTGAAGTAACAAAATGTATGAATATGAAACTGCATACTATAATAAAAAGGTAAGTTATGGCAACGGCAAATAAACATAATTACAAAATACAAATGGCAGATCCCTTGCGCTTGCGGTTGTGTTCTTGTTTATTTGTGTTGCAAATTAAGTTTATATTTTGATATTAACTTATTTCTTACATTACTAACGTTGAGTTGAACATCCCGTTCCTCCGTTTTAGTGTTTACAGTGAGAAAGAGACTCAAAAACAAGTGCTGTGCATTGTGCTAAAGAGACAGAGACTCAATTTTATCTTTCATCATGAAAGAAAACGAAAGGAAATGTTACAAGTGTGGATGTTCTCCTGCTCATGATCGTAACATCACCTTGCATCGTTTTCCTAAGCCTGGGAGAACAAATAGCTTACGGTACGTATGCTAAATAGCTTTTTGGTTACTGATTAAAACAGTTTTAAAATGTTACTGATTAAAACAGTTTTAAAAGAGCTGTAGCTACCGTGGGCAAATCTTTGTTACAGAGAGCACGAGGGATCTGTGACAGCAAACACCTGGCCGCCGAGCTTCAGCACGTCAAGCAAGTTCTGCACGACAACAAGCTTCGGGTCCCGCGTCTACGTCACAGTGACCGAGTGAAGCCGGCCACAGTCGAGCGTGTGCCTGCTGTACTACCATATGTCAGAGGTGTCACAGACAAGATTGGCTATATCTTGAAGCGAGCTTCTATTAGAACATTCTACAAGCCGCCGAAGAAGATTAGTCAGTTTCTACCATCCGTCAAGTGTCATATTCCTCTACAAGATGCAGGAGTGTACAAGCTTGATTGTGAATGTGGTCTCTCTTATATAGGACAAACCAAAAGATCAATTAGGACCCGCGTAAAAGAACATATAGCTGATGTGAAGCATCAACGTTCCGGGAAGTCTGCAGTTTGTGATCATATCCTAGACGGCCCCAACCATTACATCAGATTTGATAGACCACAAATCCTCGCGAAAGAACACCGATTCCTACCAAGGATGATACGTGAGGCTATTGAAATTAAAAAACATCCTAATTTCAATAGAGAAGGAGGTTGGGTACTACCACCTGCTTGGGATCCTATAATCAATAAAATTAAAACTAAACTCAAGCATACCACTGCAAGAACTCAAGACATAGTCAGTTCATTTTGCATAGATCGGACCATAAACAATAATTAAAAAAGCTGAAGGTACTCCGGGTTTAACAATGACATCGGGACGTCAGTCATCTCAGTCCCCCCGTGACCATGGGTGCTGGAAAGCGCCCGAAACGTCGGGAATTAAAAATAAAAAGTAAAAATAAACGCGATAAAATCCGTAAAAGTAGTTTTAATCATTTACCATTACTTCTCAACCATAAAAAAACAAAAGATATAAACTTTAAAAAAGTATATAGGATGGTGGTGGTAATGGGTTAAAGCAACATTCATTAATAAAAACAAGTTGTATTTAATGTTTATAAATTTATAAGGCTGTTTGAAATTTAGAGATTGGTTGATCAATACTGGGATACATGATATAAATAATGATTTGATAATCTCTAATTTTCAGATCACATTATATAATAATAATAATAATATAGCTCCATTTATCTTGAGGGCTCCATAGCATATGACCTATCCATCTCCACTTCATTTCGTCTATCTTGGTGAGAATATCTGTAACACCTGTTCTTGTTCTTATGTGTGTGTTTCTTTGCTTATCTATTTTTCTCCTTTCCATGGCTCTTTGACAATGTTCGAGCATATCTCTGTGCTGCTGAGAAAGTGCCCAAGTTTCGCAGCCATAAGTAAGTAGTGGTGGTAATGGGTTAAAGCAACATTCATTAATAAAAACAAGTTGTATTTAATGTTTATAAATTTATAAGGCTGTTTGAAATTTAGAGATTGGTTGATCAATGCTGAGATACATGATATAAATAATGATTTGATAATCTCTAATTTTCAGATCACATTAGCTGACCTTAATTTGGAACAAAGGAATGTCATTCAACATATTACGGGTCCATCAACTACTAAACAACCACTGTCTGAAAATATTCAGAAGACTATAACTGTTCCAAATGTATTTGAGCCGGTTGCGGGTCCGTCAAAATGTATACAACCCTTGTGTGAGAATGTGCATTATAAGACCATTCCTGACAAAACTAGTGCTATTCCTCAAGTAACTGAGAATATCAACCCTGTTGCTGCTGCAAATCCATCCACGAAAAACAAAAAGGATAAAGATATGTTGATAAAAATGAAATATCATCTGAGAAAAATTAACAGGCTTCAAAAAACTGTAAAGCATCTAAAGAATGAAGCATTTCTCAAAGTATTGAGCAAAAATGATCAGTAAATGAAATATTAAAATGTAAAATATCCCCCTCTTTTGCATTATTTTTGCAAGGAGAATTGCAAAACTATAAAAAAAATCAAAAGATCGAAGATGGAACATGGACTCCAAAATAATAGCATTAAGACTGTATAAAAGGTCACCTAGGTGTTACAAATTATTAAGGATGATTTGCCTGCCAACAACTAGTTCATTAAAAGCGTTATTAATCAATTTTCACATGAAATTTGGTATTAATGACCAAATTTTTAATGTTTTGAAAAAAAAAACAATAAAGCAACAGACTCCCTCAGACAATGAGTATATCCTTATGTTTGATGAGATGTCAATAAAAAAGAATTTGTTATACAACAAAAAGGAGGACATAATTGAGGGTTATCAAGACCATGCATTGCAGGGCAGGTCACCACAAATGGCAACACATGTCCTCGTGTTCATGATTGGCGGAATCCTTAAAAAGCTGAAACAACCAATTGCTTATTATTTTTCTAGCAGATCTGTGACTGCAGATAGGCTGTCAGTTCTTATAAAGGAGGTGAGCATTATGGTCTTTTGTTATTATGTCAATAGATATGTAGTAGTACTTTTTTACCGTATTAATTTACCCTTTTATCATTCTAGGTCCTGCAACATTGTTTTGATGCTGGAATTAATATTTCAGCTACAGTGTGTGATATGTATGGTGTGAATAAGAGAGCTTTAAGTATGGATGAGTAATCGAGAAGTGGTTACCATTTTTGATACTCCGCATTTGCTCAAATGCTATAGAAATATGTTTTTAAAATATGACATTAAATGTCCAACAAATATAACATCAAATGATCAAATTGAATTTGTTAAGATATTTTGTTTTATTACAATCATAATATTATACATATTTCCAATTTACTGGATATTTACACAAATGTTTTTTACAGGTGTTGCTAAATGGAGCCATATAAAGGAGTTTTATGAAACAGATAACACCAATCCCAATTTTGTGTTTGCACCTTGCTTAAAACAAGAACATTTAAATCCAAATACTTTTAATATACAATATAATATTTTGAAACGTGCAAATTTCCCGCGCAAAAAAGTTTTAGTGGGGCACGACAGAGATGGCGTGCATTATGGGTGCCATTTTCTTTGTTTGAAGTTGACATTCTTCCCGCCTAAGGGTATTAGTGTTCTGTGCGCGTGACGCAAATTTAATCTAGCAGCACGCTATTCATCGCGCGCGAACTAATTTAGCGTTAGACGTTTATAAATATATATACACTAAACAAATTAGTGTATACTGTATATTTATAAATGATCAAAGGACACAGTTGTCTGCTACAAAAGAAGCCTAAATAATGTTTTTAAATGTAAATAAAATAAAGATACAAAAGTGTATATAATAGTGTTTGTAAATAGTTGATTTTTGTAAATACAATCAATAAACTTTTAAATACACCTTTAATTGATTTGTAATTTATATTAAGGTTAAAATAACGTTTACATCAATTATAATTAAAATTATTAACTTTATTTTCGTTTTAAAAAATACATGCCTCAAAAATATTTTTAGGATTATAGAAAATCGTAAGCCTGAAAAGTATGAAAGAGCGTTCATTGATTTCTCTTTACCACTTTATTTTATTTTAACCTAAAATGCGACCTATTACGAAATAATGATCTTATAATATAGCACGCGGTCTACCCAATGAACGACACGTAATGTAGCGTGCTCCGAGATGTAGCGTGGTGCTAAACTTAACGCGCTTGCCTACCTCCTACACGCTTTCTTATAAATAGCGCGCTATAACATAGCGTATTTAATAGCGCGCTAGAAATTTATAGTTTATAGTCTGTAGCGTGCCATTGATTTATAGTCCTTTTGAACAATTTTAGTACTTACCCACAGGCTGCCATTTTGCCACTATTTGTTTACTCGCTTGGAATGATAACTTTAATTTTGTACAAAATAACCTCAAAAAGTGTATAAATGAAAAATTATTGATACTTTGAAGTAGTCAAAAACGGAACTATAAACAGTTATTTTACTTGAGTGAAAACCAGTTACGGCAACTTCTTCGAAAAAGTCACCAGTTGGGCCCTATTTTACTCAAGATAAAAAAGTGCTAAGTGCAAATTGTGTTAAGTAAATGTGTCTCGTGGAGGACTAGAAAGAAAGGCTGGAACCTCTTCCCTTAAAAAGCATTTGCAATTCAAGCATAAGGTGGAGTATGAACAACTTTATGGTTATATAAGTAACTCTCCTTCTCAATGTGAATCAGGCTCTGAATTAAACGTATTACAAAATTCACAAATACGCCGTGATACAAAACAACCATCTTTGGAAGAAGTCCTAGACGAGAAAAAGCTTTGGGACATAAATGATTCCCGAGCAAAACGTTACCACTATCTTATTGGAGAAATTATAGCCGTCGACAATGAGCCAGTCACAATAGTTGAAAGTCACTTGGGGTTTCGGCGTTTAATTAATAACATTTTGCCACAGTATCAAATACCTTGCAGAAATTATTTCAACGAAAAAACAATTCCAGAATTATACGAAAAGGTTGTCACTAAAATAAAATCTAGTTTGCAAACTGCTGAACACATCGCATTTACTACAGACTTTGTGGACGAGCTCAATTAATAACCTCGCCTTTATAAGCAGCACTGGGCATTGGTTATTACAGGACTTCACGTTAATGCTAGGGGCATTATACCACCCTGAATCAGGGCACTGAATGAAGGGTGGGCGTGGCCTCTAATTAGGGAGATCAGTTATTACACTACCCTAATTTTACGCCCTTACTCAGTCATAGGGATGGACAAGCGAAAAAAGTATATATATTTATTGAATCGATATTTTTAAAGTAATTGTAACAAATTATTTACTGTGTTTCATCCTTCTAACTCTAGTTGCATAACTCAAGTTTAGTGCGAGTTGTTTGAATTTGAACTTGAGTTAACTCGAGTCGTAATTTTTCCAAGTAAGCACATCTATAGGATACAACATCGCTCATTGAAAACATTAAAGCTTATGTACGATATATCGATTTTTTCGATGTTTTTATCATCATTTAAAGATATACATACATACGTATGGAATAAATAATCATTTTGAACAGAAATGAAACAAAGAAGTACAATAATCAAACATTATATTTATGTTATTTTAGGAAGTTTTACACTATTTATTTTTACACATTTAATTTTATCGAATAATTATCAAGAAACAAGAATTAATTAAATACTTTTTTAACTTTTACGTTTATTTCTTTCGGATTGAATTTGAAAATTACAATCTTGACAACTTGTTGCCTAGTAAGTGGTTTCTCTCCTGGGTGATTGTAGATCAAGCCTCTAAAAATAACTGCTCATGGAATACCGAAGTTGCCACGATAGGCAAATATATCTTATTTAGGCTATGAAGCTCGGGAAATAACCCTTTCATATCCCACATGTAATATATGCAACTCGTCTTCTGCTTTAGTTTTATTTCTTATGATGTGGTGCGTTAATTTTTATGGTAGTTCCATATGTTACCTTCAGTATTATCGCATTTTCTGAATACATCTACGAAACTATACCGAAATACAAACAGGTGAATAACCTGTCTATAAAAATCAATACTTATTCATTGGCTTATATATTACTAGCGTAAGGACCGGGCCGACCGAACAACTAAAACGGACCAGTGCGCTGGCCCTAAAATTGCAGTTTAGGGCCAACGCAAACGGTGACAGTGGTACGCGCGCAGGACAGATTTGCCTGTCATAAATATGTCTAGTTGCGTGGTAAAAACATGCAAAAATTACAATACAAAGATTTAAAAAAAAAACATAAGATATCGTATCATCGGTAAATAACCTTATATTAATTTTGTTACGATTAAATTATTATATAAACGCATTTTTAAAGTTTTATTTTACAGTTAGTTTAGTTACGTTACCAAGATTAGGTTTATTAACGCATTTTTAAAGTTTTATTTTACAGTTAGCTTAGTTACGTTACCAAGATTAGGCCAGGGTTGAATTCAGACCCTCAAAAATATTGTACATGAAAAACAATATAATATAATTTAAAAAAAATTATATCACGTTTGACGTTTCATGTTTCTGTTTTCCCATGTGCCGGGATTTTGACCTCACGCGTTTAGTTTGTCTATACGTTTCGGTTTCTGACGGTTTTATTTTTACTTCTTTTTAATCTTTGTCTAAAGAACTTATTATAAGTTAAATTTTGAATATTGGTACCTAATACATTTTATATTCAATAAGGGTATAACGAAAAGAGTACACAAGAAATCATATCTGCTTATTTGAATCTGAAAATCTGATTCATAAAATATTTTGAAATTCTGTTTTCAAACCGATTGATTCTGAACATAGTTTTTATCGTGTTAGCGCCTCATTATAGTTGTATCAAGGATGGAACATAAATGCATCGATCGAGCATTGATTGACCAGAAAGGGAGCTAATTCTAATTTTATTTAAAAAACGCGGTACTCATGTACAATACAGAAATTCTCGATAACGTAGTGTTAATATTAAAATGTAAAAGGACCCAATAATATTACAAGTCGACCTTTAGGAAAAATTATATTATTTTCGCTTAGTATTATTACGATACTATACAGGGTTACTGGTAACTAGAAATATTCCCGCTAAGGCGTGATAGTTGGGGTCATAACCTATCAAATGAACCATAAAATGCATTAAAATGCAAATATGGACCAATTTCGAGATATTTAGGTTTAATTATTTTTTTCAATTGAAGGAAATAATACTCCAAATTGTCGAAGCTGTAGGAAGCATAGGTTTTCTTTCTGTAGCTCTGTGCTGTGACCAGGGTATGGCATTCCAAACAGCCTTAAAAGCTTTCAACAATAAACAAGAAGAGAGCATATATTTTCAGGAGATGGAACAGGTACATATAACTTATAGATTTCTTTTTTCATTTAAATTAAATGAAATAGAAGTAAAATATTAATAGAAAAAGATGACATATCTAGTATTAAAGAAGATATTCGAAGATATTTAGAAGGTGTTTAGTACATACTAGTGATGTAACGAATGTTGGATTTTTCACATTCGCGAAGGCGAATGCGATTGCGAATATTTATCTTCAACATTCGCGAATGCGAATGCGAATATTTTAAAATTTCAAAAAAAGCGCGCGTAAAATGTTTGACAGGTTTGACGTTTCGTGTCGGCCATGTTTAAATTGAACCAGATTTTAATTGAATGAATTTAGTTACAGAAAGTTCGTTCTAAAAGTTTTGTTTTGTTATGAGGTTAGTTTTATGTTATTTATCAAATTTTACTGATATTTAAGGGACAAAGTGGCATAAAAACATGAGTAAAGCACACATCAGCGAAGTTTGGACTTGTTTTACAATATGTGATGCTGAAAATGTTAATTGCAAGTTGTGTGACAAAAAGTACTCGCGCAAAGGCAGGACCACTATTGCTATGAGAAATCACCTGGAAGCTAAACACAAAAATGAAAGATGCTGCTAAAATTAATTCTTTGGCGTCCTCTTCGCGACAATGTATCAAAACTGACCTTAAGCAAATGTTTTTGAGTGATTGCGTTGAAAAAAAAATAAAAAGTGGAATAACAACAACACCAAGTCTTTGGTGCTGGATAATTTAATTGGCGAAATGATCGCACTGGAGGACTTACCATTTAGTTTTGTGGAATGTCTTGGATTTGTGAGATTGATTAACCAAGTACGCCCTTCATATAATTTAAAAAAATCGGCAATATTTTACTTCCTTCATTTGTGAGAAATTATACGGCAAGGTAAAAGATAAAATTCTGGAATTAATCAAATCATTTCAAAAATTAGCATTAACAACTGATATCTGGTCTGACTCTTGCTCTGGAGTGTCGCTGATAAGTTTCACTTGTCACGGAATTACCAATAATTTTGAACGAAAAATGATTGTATTGAAAGCAGAAGTATTCAATGATGGGCGACATACAGGAGAAAAGGGCATTTTTCAACAAACCGAAAAAATATCTATAATATTTAGTTAGTTAGCAGTTATTTAAACTGTGGTACAAAATTCAACTTATTCCTGGCAACACTAACAATCGAACTGTCATTTACTTGACTTTAGTGACTTGTCAGTCGTTGTCAAAGTTGGTGGTGTTTTCGGCGGGCGAAATTCTGTGTGAAAACTTCAATAAAAAGTCGAAGTTGCAGTTGCAGCAGGTAAGTACCGTGAAACCTTACAACTTTGCCCTTGGGGGACATCTTTGCCCAAACACGAAAATTAACTAAAACTACCGATAGAAATTTTATTTTAACAAATGGTAACTTTGTATGGTGTCTAGGAAAAACTAGAATATCTGTTTGGCAACTCTGACTACTGCAATCGCAGCTAAGTTTATTCAGTCATCCGTCATCAACCGTCAAAGTGACAGTGTCGAAGGTGGTGCAAAAACATTGTTGCAGTTTTACATCCCGCATTGACAAGAAACGCTGCGCAGGTAAGATTCATTATTATTTACGTATAGGGCATTAATTGTTGCTGCTTTTAATCATGGTCTTTTTCTTACACTTGTCTTAGTTAGCGAGAAAATTGTGTGGGCAATGTTGTAAGCAATTTTATAGACTTAGGTTGACAACATTGCCCAGCTCAAAAATGTTATTAGGGTTGACACTATAGACAAAAAAAAAACAAGGAAACATGTACCTAGACCTAGGTACATGTTTCCTTGTTTTTTTCTTGTCTATTATTTTTGTAATTCATTATATTTAATATATATATATATATAAAACAGTATCTATTTACCTATACTGTTATCTATATATTTACCTATACAGTAGTTTAGTTTGCAGTTAACAGTAGTTATTGTTAATAGTTTTTTTTATATACCTATATACATTTATGTATTTTATTAAGTATACCTATATATTTACAATTTATTATATATAATTTTATTTAATATACTATATTAATATTTATATAAACATAATAATATATATATATATATATATATATATATATATATATATATATATATTAGTATATAAAAAAACTATTAACATTAACTACTGTTAACTGCAAAGTAAACTACTTTTCTGATAACTATATAGGTATCAGAACAGTAGTTTACTTTAGAGAGCTTAAATATTCTCAGCTTCAAACTAAAGTTTTAAATAAGATTTATGCGGCAATTCGTTTGCAAAAAAAAAGTCTAAAAGACAATTTTCTCCTCAACGACAGACATTAACGATCGCAGGCAAAAATGGCCGGCAAAATGGATTGGTACGCACAATAGGTGAGCCACGCACATCAGTGGTAACAAAATCAGTATAAGCTGGCCTCATATTATATTAAATAAGTATCGTCGGCGTCTACTTTTCCTTACCTCTCTTATCAGGGTTGATTTCTGAGATAATTTTCTAGAAGTACTTACCTAGTACTATTCTATTTATTTGCAGGATGGTGAAACCTAAAAAGCAAAGCCGAAGACGCCTCGGTGCCAGGTATTACAAAAATTATAATGACGACATGTTAGATCTCGCAGTTGGGTACGTTAAAAATAAAAAAATGTCATCGAGAGAGGCTGAAAAACATTTTGGTATACCGAGACGGACCCTTCTGAACAAAGTTCAAGAGCTGCACCAAAAAAAAATAGGAGCTCCAACGCGACTTACTGAGGAAGAAGAGAAGAATATAGTAAAAGTGGCAGTTGCAACTGGTGATTTTGGTTGTCCATTATCAAAGCTTGACTTACGAATAATCGTATACGAATATTTGAAAAAAAATGGGCGTGAGGCAATTTTTCATGGAAATCTACCAGGAAAACAATGGATTTCGAGTTTTTTAGAACGAAATGCTTCAGAACTAACAGTAAGATCTTGCCAAAATATAAAAAAAGCAAGAGCCGAAAAAAGTGTTGAAGAATTTTTAGATTATTTCAAAAAATTTAGAAGAAACTATGAAAGACGTTCCCCCCGTCAAACATATTAAACTTGGATGAAACAAATTTAAGTGATGATCCCGGATCATCGAAATGCATTTTTCGTAGAGGGGTAAAGTACCCTGAAAGGGTATTAAATTCAACGAAAGGAGCCATTTCATTGATGTTTTCGGCAAGCGCAGACGGAACGAACCTACCACCATATGTTGTGTATAAATCAGAAAATATTTATTCTGAATGGATAACAGGCGGTCCACGAGGCGCAAGATATAACCGCACTAAATCGGGGTGGTTCGATTCGTCCACTTTTGAGGACTACTTCAAGACAATAGTTTTAAAATGGTCGGAAGGTTTGCCGGGAAAAAAGGTGGTCATATGTGATAACCTATCAAGTCATCTAAATGTGGACATTATCAAACTTTGCGAAGAGCATAACATATCTTTTGTTTTCATTCCTGCCAACTCCACGCATCTTACCCAACCCTTAGACGTGGCTTTCTTTGCTCCGCTTAAGAAAGCGTGGCGGAAAATTTTGCTGCAGTACAAAATGGAAAATCCCAATCAAACATCTTTAAATAAAAATCATTTCCCGAAGTTGTTGACGTCTTTGATTAACGCAATAGACTTTACCAGAACCAACAATATCAAAAGTGGATTCAAAGCTACCGGAATTTGTCCTTTAAATCCACGTGAAGTGCTCAAACGGCTGCCGGAATATGCTGAAGAACTTGGAAATTACACAGTTGATAACGCCTTATTAAATTACTTGCAAAAGTGTAGACAACCGAAAGCAGTGAGTGTAAAACGCAATAAAAAAAGTTTCAGTAGAGCCTGGCAAGTCTGTTTCAATAAGCGATTTCGGTTTGTTGAGTTGTTCAAATCAAGAAGTTACAGAGACTCAGACCTCTAAAAAAAACAATGGAGTTGGAGCGAAAAAATCAAAAACAACAAAAAAAAAGACTTCTATTACAAATCAAGATAATCCAGAAAATAATGATCCCGTATTTGACCTCTTTTTAGACAATACAGCTATTGGACAGCCAATAAACGATAAAGATGAAACCGCTGATATCTATAATTATTTGGAAGAAGATATTTTGAATGATAGCAATATACTGTTAAATCTGACATGTGACTTTTATAAAATTGATAAACTTGAGGTATCGGACAGCAAAAAGGGTGAAACTGTAACAAAGTGCATCTTAGATGAAAAAACTGTGATAATAGACACTAATAACTTTGACGAAATTAATGAAATTAATGATGAGCCAGTACACAATGAAAACAAAGTCGGAACAAGTTGCACTTTGGATAAAAATGGTAAGATAATAGCCATCAATGACAGTGACGACATATTCAGTGATAACACCCATAAATTTACTGTTGAGTCTGAATACCAAGAGCAAGAGAATGTATCAAGATGCATTCTAAATGAGAAAACTGGAGTTCTTCAATATACAATAGCCACCCGAGTGAAGCAAGTTATAAACAACAAACCAGTATTGCGAGATAAAATAAAGTTAACCTCATCTAAAGGCATGTACACTGAAACTGTGACAGGACCTAAAAAAACAAGAACATTTAAAAATGACACCAAGATTGCATCTGACAACATTTGCCCTAACATTGTAAATATTTTACCACGTCGCAGCACATCTGATTATGGTAGCACACAACAAATTATAGACTTAAATGAGAAGAGAGAAGAATTAAATGCAAACAATTTAAATATAAAAAAGTACAAAAATACTAAACATCACGAAAAGCTACAAGACTCAAAACAAAATATTTTAACCGAAATAAATACTTCTACGAATGAAACTAAAGTTATTTTGGAGACTGGCAAAAATAATGGCAAAGAAAACAAAACTTTTAAACATACTGATTTAAATAAAGAAATAAATAAATGTGCAGATACAAAACAAAACACCAATCGAAAGTCCGGAAAGAAAATAACTAATCAACCAAAGAAAAAAAGAAAAAGCAACAAATCAACCATTGAACCAAAGACAAAACCAGCCCGCAGAACATACAAGAGAAATATAAGTGAAACAAGTAATAGTGATATCAACATTAGTACTCACAGTGATTCAGATATCTGTGATATAGAATCTGATAAGTCCGACAAAGACATTCAAAGTTTAAATACAAAACAGCCTAAAACAGAGTCAATGAAAGATAATAAAACAACAATAGCAACGGAAACAGAAAAACCTTCATCGAGCTACGACGACCATTTAAGTGAAGCTTGTTCTAATATCAATTATGCTGTTGGGGATATTATATTAGTCAGATACTTTTTTAAGAAAAAGGTTGATTATTTTGTCGGTAAAGTCATAGCAAAAGTAGGAAATGATAGAGTAAATGCATCATTTTTCAGACGAACCGGTAGAAACGACAATACCAAGTTTATAAAAACCAAAAAACAAGAAGTAGAAATAATTGATTGTAAGAATATTGTCAAAACCGTGAATTTACTTACAATTAATACCAATGAAACAGAGTTTGTTCTAGATGATGATGATGACTACTTATATTTCGATTATTAGATCTCACTTATCTTATCACAATATAATGTAGGTAGGTAAAGTAAAAGGTACAAACCTTATTTTTAAATATTTTTATTACGTACACCTAAAATTTATTTACAATAGGTACAACAATGTTGATTTCGAATAAGATTTATTTCTAATTATGTGCAAATGTGTATTATATTAATCTGTGATTCTTGTGCCATAGTTCTAGTGCTGGAACTAAGTTCCATCGTGTTTAATTTTTTAAACTTCTCATCATAAAAATCGAAACACCCCACGAGTTTATGCCTTGTAATGATTATCTGAAAAATGTGTATATTTAGGAATAAATAATAAATCTTTGTATTTTTTAAATAAGCAGAATGTTAACATTAATTTTATTATAATAAAATGATATTATACGTTAAAACTATTTTTTGATAATCTTTAAAAACAAACTCGTGAGGTGTATCGATTTTTCTGATGAGAAGTGTAATGTGTAGCTAGTAATTATAGGTATAAGTATATATACTTATACCTATAATTATTAGCTAGAATCGTAAGGGTAACATCAAAGACTGTTAGTAATTTTTGTTTAATTTTTCAATTTCAGAAGATATTTCTTGAAATTTAGCACTATAAGGATAATGTTTTAGGCTGCTATTGTTAATTTTTTGTTCTAGAAGAAATATTTTGTTATTTTTTTTTGTATGAGGAACGGTAATCTCCCTTGCGTGCGTGTGATAAAAAATTTCTGCGCTGCTTACCTATCTTTTCTTAAAAACTAATACTCACGAAGGTAACTAATAGGCACGCTTGCGTTAGCGGACACCTATTTGTTTCTTTTTATTAATATTTAATAGGTACGTTACCTACCTAAACATTGATTTTCTTGATTTTTGTTGTTGTTCAGTTAGTTGTTGTTTTTAATTTAAAAAAAAATACATTATTGCCTAAATATCAGTTTATTATTTTCCTTTCATCTGATGTACAGCCCTAGCACCTCAAATCTCTTAGTATGAAAGCGTGACTAAATGTGGTGATAACATTGCCCACCTCCATTAAAACCTAAAATGGACTTCTATTTATTTGAAAATGTAATAGTATACAATTTTGCCGGTTTGCTAACAATATATCTTAAAATCAAAATCATAGAGCTTATAGTTGGTGAGAAATTTAGGTTGAGCAAAGATGTAAGAAAGTGGAGATAACTTTGCCCGCGTCTGTTTTTGTTTTTTTCTCAGCATCTGTTAGGAATTAGGTCACCTGGATTTGACAGGTTATTTGTTGCATAGAGTGTCGTTTAAAGCTTCAGCAACCATCAAAATAAAGTGGATATTTTTTGAAAAAAGTAATAAAAACCGAAATATGTGGGCAAAGATGTAAGGTTTCACCGTAGTGTTTTAGAATATTGTAAATATAACTAAAAATTAAATACGAAAGATGGTTAATAAACGGCGAAATGTTTCTGCAAATGATAAATATGGCGGTGGGCAAAGTTACCTTAGCGTTGTCACTACACCTCTTGGCAACTTTGCCCACCAAAATTCTAACATCAGGGTTGTCAATTTTGTGTTTCTGCATTTTTTTTAAGTTTACCTAATTAATATATTTGTAATAATTTGTTAAGCTTTTTAAACGCAGTTATGTGAGTTACGTAATACGTTAAACTTTGATATTTTATTTTTACGTTGATGTATTTAGGCACTAATGTTAGGCACAAAAAAAAGTATGTACAGAAGGTCACAGATTAGGGGATTTTCTATAAATATTTATTATAAATAAATGATATTTGCGATGACAATGTGACATCACTTTCACACAAAAAGGATGTTTATGCTTTTTTTATTATTTGAAATTCAATACCGCGATATCGATTTTTTTTATAAAAAAAATACCTTTTTTGTAGAAAAAAGTTGTCAACGCAAAGAGGCGATTTAAGTACCCTAGTAAACAACAATAGAAGTTTTTTTTCTGCTCTCGCAGATCAATTAGTATTTTCTACAATTAATTATTTTAACGACATCAATACTTACCTAAGTAACCATTTTACTAAGATTTTTTTTCTGAACTAAGCTACCTACCAGAAAATCCCCTATAAAAAGTTATACATATTATAATCTGCTTACATAACTTAGTAACTTTATAATTCGTATATTTATATGCTGAAACACTGAATGACATGTCGTTATGTACAACTTGTTAATGAATAAGCGCACAACCTTTTATGTGATGATTGTGATCATATGAACAACTTTTACTATGAGCCGACTCTACAACTAAAAAAAAATCAACTGTTTCATACAAATTGTCAATACATAGGTACTAGACCAGAATGTATGCAATAGCAGATTTTTTTTTATAGAGGACGTGCACTTATTCCTTAACACGTTTTGTATGTGTTTCCATTTTTCCTATGTCTTTGTGAAAGTTTATTTCATGAGTGTAAAAGTTAGATAAAGCACCATAATGTTTTTTGTTTTCAGAATGAACATGGAGAGTCGATCGCGAAAGAAAAGAAATAGAAGAAAACTGGGATCTCGACGATACAGAGATTATTCGACGGAGATGTTAGAAGTTGCCGTTGAAATGTTAGAAAAAAAATTAACGTCGAACTTTATTAAATAAAATGAAAAAGGTGCATATGAACTCCACGGGGAGAAAAAAAATTAACGGACGAAGAGGAGGAAAAGTTAGTCGGTGTACTAATTGCTGCCGCAAACTTTGGTAGTCCAATGACTAAATTGGATTTAAAGTTACTAGTTCATAAATATTTACAAAAGAATTCCCGAGCGGATTTATTTAATAATAAAATGCCTGGTGATGCCTGGGTAGAAATTTTTTTTAATGAGGCACTCTTCTAAATTGTCCTTTCGAACAACCCAAAATATAAAACAAGTCCGAGCCGAAAAAAGCTTGGAAGAAATGAGTTTACTTTGAAAATTTGAAAGAAACCCTTAACGCTGTACCACCTTCAAACATTTTGAACTACGATGAAATCAACTTGGCAGACAATCCAGGCACTGCCAGGTGCATTTTTAGACGAGGGGTCAAATACCCAGAGCGGGTACTTAATAGCTCTAAGAGTTGCATATCAATTATGTTTACGGTATGTGCAGATGGGACCTGTCTTCCAACTTATGATGTCTTTTGCCACAAATTTATATTCTGAATGGGTGGAGGGAGGCCCTTGTGGGACACGATATAATTGCACCAAATCTGGTTGGTTCGATTCTGATGCCTTCGAGGATTATTTTAAAACAATAATAGTCCAAAAGTCATCATTGGCGACAATTTGTCGAGCCACATAAATATTGAAGTCGTGGAGTTGTGTCAACAACGTGATATCCGATTGGTATTTTTAGCACCAAATTCCACTCATCTGATCCAACCTCTGGATGTTTCGTTTTTTGGTCCACTGAAAAGGGAGTGGAGAAGAATTCTACTTGAATATAAAGTCAAGAATCCTGGTCAAACTACACTCAATAAAAAACATTTTACTAAATTGCTGGCGGAACTAATTGAAAACATAAAGCTGAGGGAAACAAAAAATATTAAAAGCGGCTTCAGAGCCACAGGTATTTGGCCTCTCAATCCAATCAATGTTACTAAGAGAATACCAGAACTATATGACGAAGTGAAATATGGAATAGACAATGCTTTACTAGAGTATTTGAAAGAAACAAGATCCCCAAATCCAATGACAGTGAAAAGAAGCAAAAAATTGAAAACAGAACCAGGAAAGTCAGTCTGCGTGGAAGATATTTCTATAAAAGCCAATACTACAAAGAAAACAAATGCGACAAATAAGAATAAAAACATATTAATACGGAAGAAGACATTGTGATACCGATGTTGAATGAAAACACAGAAGAAAAGATAGAGACAGACGAAGAAATAGAGACGTATATATTACATGAAGAAACAGGGCAAATAGTAAAAAAAGAATCCCAAAAAATCACGTGTAAGTCTTGTAAGTTCCGCAGTTACACAAATTACACAAAATGATTGTCCATCGACATTAACTGAAAATGACAGTAGAAATGAATTGGTAGTGCCATTGTCGTTATCATATAATCCAAATAGTCTAAAAGCAATTTGTATTGATATGATCAATAATTACATACATTCATTAATCCAAGATATTGGTTCGGAATCGCCAGATCTATGCATTTTTGGTGAAAATTTGAGAAGTCACGAAAAAAATTTATCGTTTATAACACATAATGAAAAAGATTTACCTGTTTGTTTACAAACACAAAATCTACTTTCGAAAAATTCTCCAAGTGGGGTAAAATTTACTGCAAACAGTTCTAGTCTAATCTCTAGTCTAAGTCTCTAGTCCAATGTAAAAGTGACTTCAACTGTTAAGATAACCTCAACTAGGAAGAAAGAACATATCAAGAAAAAAATTTTGGGTGTTGAAACAATTCGAGACTCTACACTACATATGAAGTTATATCTTAAGCCAAAAAAATCAAATGCCAAACAAGACTTCTAAAAGAAATAGAAATAAATAACGTTCAACCAAAAACATCAAACAAAATACAAAACAGAAAACGTAAATCTAAGAAAAAGAAGAGAAAGTTAGATAGATATGTAGTAGAATCAAGCTCTGAAAACTCAGACATTATGAGCGTAGTAGATACGGAAAATTCTGAAAACGAATCCATGGAAGATTTTATTAAAAAATATTTACTAGAGGAAGATTACAAAGAAGAATTCAAAGAAGATTACACAGAAGATGTTTCGTTTTTTACAGGCAATCCGAGTAACATAAAAAAAGATGACTGGATATTGGCAAAATTTGCCACAAAAAAAAGTTTAAAACATTACGTTGGACAAGTCATAAGCGTTAAAAATGAAATCCCTACAGTGAAATTCTTAAGAAAAATAAAAAATGCCAAAGGCAAGAAATTAGCGTTCACGTACCCAAATGTAGAAGACACTTGTGAAATGATGCACTTAAATGACATAATTCTAGTATTACCTCAACCAAATATTTCGCGGAGGAGTCAGATATTTGATATAAATTTAAGTGAATATAATGTGCAATAATTAAAAGTAAATTTTATTGATCTTTATTTATATAATTAAGCTTTTATTTTTTCGTTATCTCGATGTAGTAAACAATGCGTTTTGTTGGCTACATTGATAGCTGTTTCTAATTTTGGACGGTTTTGGATTACTTACAATTCAGGTAGCCAACTGAGTACTTATGTCATAAGATGATAGTTAATTGCTAAAGGCAGATGTTACAATGATTTCATGTCAAACTTGGTTGTCCATCAAAGCTGTTAGACTTACAAAATAGGTCAGTTGTCCAACTACAACTACAAGGGGCTATAAAGTTGACTTTTATTAAACGATGATCTCATAAAAATACTTTTGTTCCTGGATACATTCCTAAGTTTTTTTTTAATTTAAATAGGTAACTTATTGTTTATAGGGCTTGTCTTTTTTCCATTGTGTTTATTGAAGTTTTTGGTTGATATTTTTTTTTATTAAATTATTTACTCCTACCATATGAGTAACTAGGTTCACGCATTGATAACACGGGTAAATCTCTGAGAGTATCAGATGTAATAATTTTATTCTTTTTTTATAACCTTTTGCGTTTATTTGTTGATCTCAAGATTATATTATTTTTATGATGCTAATCTCAATAACATTTTTATTTCTTTTGTATAAGTTTGATTTTAAGTTAAGATTCATTATTAAGTACCTTTTTTGTTGTAGCTTTCTCAAAGCCAATGTCGATTAATTTATTTCAATTTATAGTTGATTATATGATGCAACTCATATGAATCAGATTTAACTACGTGTCAAGTCTTTTGTTTGATTAAATATCTATATAAAAATAAAACTGTTTCAATTACTCGTCATTACTCTAATCATTCCTCAAAACTACCTAACAGTTTGGTGCCTTAGCACTTCTCGCTTTCTACTGACGATGAGAATATATCATTACTATTTCTGTATGTTAACTACCATTAAATAATTAATAGACTGTAAGTAGTTTGCATTTATACTATTTACTTGGTATCAAGAGTATAAAACGGCTATTTGTGCAATACAATGTCTTAAATAGTGACAACCCTAGTGCATACTTTCGTTTGTATAGAGAATGTTAAAAAAAGGCTTGGCAACTTTGCCCACTCCATTTTTGTGGCCGTTAAGTACGTGTAGTGGTTTCTTATATGATACAGTGCAACATTGCACCGTTTTTTTTATCATACTTCTTAAACCACTTAATATAAAGATCAAAATATCGAAGCTACTGTGTTACCATGTCAAGTGGGCAAACATGGCCATTTTTTAAATATTTGGCCCACGTTCTAAATTAACTTTTTTTGCAAGTATAACCATTTTTTAATATAGTAATTTTCAAATTTAAGTAAACCTAGAAACATTTTCGACTACTTATTGCAAGTATTTTATTAAATATGTTTATAATTTTAAATTAAATTAGAGAGTAACGCATAAAAGCGGGCAAAGTTGCCACGTTTTACGGTATTATGTATTGTTAGAGATGGTGGCACTAACATGAAAAAAGGTATTTCTTTATTAAGTATTAAAAACATTGATTGTTTATCGCACCAAATCCAACTTGTTGTTAAAGAAGGGCTTAAGTCACAAGAATAGATCATTGCAGCCATTAACAAATGTAAAAAGATAGCAACACATTTTCACCACTCTAATGTAGCTCAAGATGAACTTGTTAATCTACAAGAAAAGCTTAATCAACCAAGGCTCAAGATAATCCAAGAGTGTGTTACGAGGTCGAATAGCACCTTTTACATGCTAGAACGCATTTTGAAAAACAAAGATTCGCTGTGCCTTTATGCTTCCACCAGCAACAAAATTTCACAACTAACTTCAGAAGAATGGATACTTGTGGAAAAATTGATTACATTGCTTCAACCTTTTGAAGAAATAACTCGAGAACTAAGTGCAGCTAATGTTTCCATATCATCTGTGATTCTGTTATTGGCCACTCTGGAAAAGGTGATTGATGAATATAATGCATCTGACGAGTGCATTAGGAACACTATACTTGTTTTAAAACAAAAAATGAGACACAGATTTTCTCACTTAGAAAACGACATATTATTTGCTACAGCAACGTCTATTGATCCTAGATAAAAAACGAAATTCTTCAAAAATCCTTCAACAAAAGATCAAGTCATGAAAAATATTTTAGATTCACTTGGAGATGAGGACTTAAGTTTACCGTCATGTTCAAAGCCAAAGCGTCCTAAAATAAGGAATCAGGATAATGAAAACTTGGGCTCCGGTACCAGTCTTTTAGAAAAATCTGTGACATTAAAAGAAACTATGAAAATGATGATGGACTCAAGTGAAAGCGAGGAAGAACTAGATAATGATATTCCAAATCCATTAGACGAAGTATTTAGTTATAAAAAATATTAATGAATATGTTTTGGATAAACGTATTGAAAATGAAGATGACCCACTTCTTTGGTGGAAAGTAAATAGCAACAAATATGGCATTCTTTCTCCAGTAGCCAAAGAATGTTTGGTAACTCCGCCCACAAGTGTCCCCAGTGAAAGAGTTTTCAGTGGAGCTGGACTACTTTACACACCTCACCGAAACAGGCTGCACGGAGAAAGAGCCTGCAAACTTTTATTTTTAAAATTCAACATTCCATTGCTTCAATTTAATTATTAAGAATTAAAAATTACAACAAATTTAATAATTAAATAGTCAACATGTTATTAGAAAAACTATATTTTGTGTACCTTCTTACTTACTTATATATCATTATTTTTATACATAGATAAATAACTTGCAATTGAAACCAAATGTTAACATAACAAGTATTAGAAGTTTACTTTAGTTTAAAATAAAAATAATTATAATTTTGTTTTTGAAAAAAGGTTTATTTACAAATAGTAATTATATTTCATTCATTATAAATATATTTAATTCCTCAGATATATAAAGTGGAATAAAAAAAATATACATTTAAAGCCAAAGGTTATAAATACTTAATACATTAGATATTTAAAGTTTAATAATTTTGTTTCAAGTAATTGTTTAGTTTTTTAGTAAATAGAAACTGTAAACTTTATTTAAAAATGGTAGTAAAGTAATAATATACTACTAAATAAATGCAAACCTTACATAGTTGTAACACGGCTGATTAATGTTAGATTTGATCAGATCTCTGAAGTTCTTTTTTTATAAATGAGACTTTAATTTAGAATGTAGAAGTATGATTTAATAAAAATATATAAGTGTTATCTATTGTATTATTATTTCATATGCATGCATATAATAATTTCCTTTTTGATGATAAAAAACATTCGCTAAATATTAGCATAATTTTTGCGAATGCGAATGCGAATATTGAAAAATATGCGGATATTCGCGAATGCGAATGCGAATATCCGTTACATCACTAGTACATACAAACATATGCCTCTGTTTTCTCACTGGATTGGTCTGGAAATTTATAATACAATCTATATTGGCAGCCAGATCAGCCAGTTTGCTTCTTATATTTTTTTTTAACAAGAAACCTCTTAAAATTACTAAAAGTGCCCAGTTTGCCTGTTTCAGGCTGGTGGATGGTGGACAAATTTAACAAACAAAACAGGAGCATACAGTCATTCTTGGCTGCCTATCTAAGTCTTCAGGTACTTCAGGACACAATTATTGCAGTTGTGTTGTACCTGAGAACTATTCAAAACCAATTCTTCACATTTCTTGCAGCCTAGGTATCTTTTTAATGCCAAATTGGTTAAACGGAACCTTCTTAGTTTTTGAAAAACTGAAATTGATTGTAATAATATCATAATAATATCGTATAGATTTTATTTTCAGATGAAGCAATCGATATTAGTGGACATAGGTTAAATATCATTTTTGATGCTCCTCTTTTCATAAGAAACAATTTTCTGACAAAAAATATTAAAATGAAATAAGGTGAGCCAAACATTGAGGAACACTGCATCAACTGTTCTCCTTTTTGATAAGTTATTCGATTCAGTAAATGCGGCAAGCTCAAGCCACAAAAGCCAAAGGCGAAAAATTTAATAAAATCTGTTACAGCGACTTTAGAACATCGCGCATGGAATGATGCTATTAAAAAATTAAAGGAAATGAAATATGAAGATCTTAGTGGCAAAGAATTTAGATTTATCAATCAATTTTTTTTTATCGAAGGAATTTAGAAATTCCTTCGATAAAAAAATTGGATTGTAACTATAAAGAGTTTGCAAAGGCTGTGGCAATTCTTTAATAAATTTCCACAACCCTACATTTCACTGCGAGGATGATGAAGTAGCAGCCCCTTTGCTACAATAAAAAAAAATATTCGATAAAATATCAGGGGTTGCAGTCAAAAAGACTTTAGAGACAAATAATATTAATTTTAATTGTAGGTTAGAAAATATTCAAATGGCTGCTCGTCAAAAAAGAACACTGTCACTGTCTAGTTCTGATGACCCATCATGGCCTCTAGGCAGAAGCAAATTAATGCCTTTGCCTTATTTTAACTTAAAAAACCAAATGTCAATTTCAATTCTTGAGGCTCGCTATTGACCAATTTTTTAGTATGGTATGGAATACTTAAAAGTTAGTTATTACAACTTCAAAAATAGTACCTATAGCGTACAAGAGGACGGGTTGATTTCGACTATCCGATTAGACCCCGATTGATTTGTATGTAGGTATTGTGGGCGTTTGTTTTGTCTCCTTTTAATTACTTTTTTTTTACTTTTTACAGAGTGGGAGTGTCAGCATGCCACGAACATATGTGAGAGTCAAATAGGCTTCAATGGTCGGAGTCAGATATGCTTTAAGCCATAAATTCGGTGATGGAAGGTAGATATAGTAATATTTAGTTTAGAGTTTTAGATATATTAATATTTAGTTAGTACCTAATATTTTAGTGTCAAATATACATACAATGTACCTAAACGTTCATTAGAAGATCGTATAAAGAAGATAAAAAGTGGAAAATCCAATATATGAAGTGTTTTAAAAGTGCCCTGCTACAGGAAAATTCGTCTTCACTGATGAGCTGGAAGGTATGATAGTCGAACATATAAAAACTATTTAATCTCGACTATTTGGCTTGACCGAAACAGATCTACGACGTTTGGCATTCCAATTAGGTGAGGGAACTAATTTAAACCATCCTTTTAATAAAGAAACTGGACTCACTGGCTTAGATTGGGTTAGTGGATTTCTAAAACGACATTCTGAATTGTTGCTAAGATCACCTGAAGCTACATCAGCTGCAATAGCAATGGGATTGATTTCTGTAGTGTCATCATTTTTTAATCTTTTAGATACACTTTATGTTAAGCACGCTCTCAATTCCACGCGAATTTATAACATGGACGAAACTAGATTGACCTCTTTACCAAAAAAAAATAAGAAAAATTATATAGGTGAAAGGTAAAAAAACAAGTTTGTGCACTAGCTTCGACTGAACGGGGACAGTTGGTAATGGCAGTCTTTGCTTTTCTGCAGCTGGACATTATGTTCCACCTCTTATGGTTTTTCCTCGAGCACGAATGAAGAGTGAGCTTTTAGATGGTGCACCACCAGACACAGTAGCTGTATGCCATCCAAGTGGTTAGATGCAATAACATATTTTCGCCAAATGGATGCGCCACTTTAACTGCTATGTAAAACCAAGCAAAGAAGATCCTGTGCTTCTTATCTTAGATGGTCACGCCACCCAAACTAAGTACCTAGAAGCTATTGAGTTACCTCGTGCTCATGGTGTCATATCGCTTGCCACCTCATTGCACGCATCGCTTACAGCCACTCGATGTTGGTTTTATGGGGCCACTAAGCACGTTTTACTGGCAAGAAATCCAGTAATGGCTTTGAAATTATCCGGGGCGTGTTGTCGCCCAATTTCAAATAGCATCTTTGTTTCGAACTGCTTATAATCGTGCCGCTACCAAGCAAAATGCAGTGTCTGCTTTCACCAAAACCGGAATTGGCCCAATGAATCCCAATATTTTTACAGACATAGAATTTACATCATCACAGACAACAAAAATATCATTTGTACCAACCACAAATGAAATCTCTCCACAAAAGAACTCCGTCCCCGTAACTAAGAACTTCTACAGAAGGACAGATATTTTCAGATTCTATAAGTTTGGATCACCGAAAGATATCATGCCAATTCCTCATTTTAAAAACAATATCCGGCCATCAACGCTTCGAGGAAAAACAGCAATTTTGACTGAAACGCTGTATAAAAATGAACTGGGCTAAAAAAGCTACGCAATCAGTTTTTAAACTAAAATTTAATGGCAAAGGTAAAGGTATCGGGGAAAAAGGAAAATAAAGAAAACAATCAAGAGGATTCAAAGTTTTTGGTTTGTGGTGAATAGTAAATCTATGTCCACAAATTAATGGTACCAATGCACTGCTTATCTTCAATGGGCTCACAAATTTGCACTAATTTTCAGTGGCTGTCAATCTTTCGTCAGCATAAATTTTAGTTTTGGATAAGTTTTATACCTTCGAGAATTTAACAAGCGGGAGTGAACAAGACGTATATAGCCCTGAGTCAGATGGAGCTGTAAGAATCGCATAGACTAACAGCGTTAACATCTAGAAACTAGACACAAGACGTACCTATGCTATGCCAAACGTATAAACCGACTTTTATTCTATTTTTATTCTCATCATGTAAAATTACACGATAACAATGTATCGTAGTCAAACTATAATCGTTTTGGTGGTGCGGAACGTTTAGTTCGCGAGTTTCACTTTTGGTAACTTTTTTCATAATAAAATTGACATATTATTTGATCATTATTAATTTCTACTCTGCCATTCAAAGTGAATGAATGGCAGAGTCGGAAAGGTACGTCCTAGGTGAAAATTTATCGACCAAATTGGCGACTTATTGAAAACGGGCCAAATTAGGAGTACCCTTAACCGACGAGCATGTATGCGTAGGTGTATGGATGTGAAGGAGGCAAGAGAGGTGTGTCAGGATCGTGCCAAATGGAAGTCTGTAGTCTCTGCCTACCCCTCTGGGTGACAGGCGTGAGTGTTTATGTATATGTATTATATAATTTCTATAAATTGTTACTGGAGAAAATGCCTCGTAAATACATTAGAAAAAAGTTGCGCATTATGCTCAGGATGATACGGATTAAAGTGACCAAGCGATTCGAAGATCCCAACAACGACGCTATTTGATAGGATGAAAAGTAATATAGCAGAGAAAAAGTGAGCAGACCACAAGCTATAGCATTTCAACCGAACAACGACTGGCAAATGCTATCGCAGCTATGGAAAAGTAGGGATTTGGTCTGACGAGGCAAGAGGTATTAGACATAGTTGCTGAGTACATTGAAAAAAACTCAAAAACCCTTTTCACCAACAACAAACCCGGACCAGACTGGTTTATAAATTAAAAAAAAAGACATGGGCTTTCGATTAAACAACCACAACCAGTGGAACATATAAGGAGGAAAATGACAGATCCATTTGTTATTTCTGAATTCTTCGCACTGCTTGAAGAGACGCTGGCTAATCTGAATCTGTTAGAAAAACCTGATTTAATTTGGAGGAGACTTCTCTATCCCTAGATCCGACAAAAACCAAAGTTGTCGGAAAAATCAATAAACCTTGTTCGAGAACAACATATGGGATGGGAAAAGAAAATATTACGGTCTTAGCGGCCGTAAATGCCGCTGGTAAAAAAAAATTCACCTTTAATAATTTTTAAAGGGAAACAAATGTGGGACGAATGGATGGCCAAATCGGATGACTTTGATTTTGAGTTGTCCTATGCGGTTTGTTCTAGAGGTCGGATGGACTCACCTATATTTCATAATTATATAGATAAAATCTTAATTTCATCCCGTGGTACTGAACGGCTATTCTATTACGACGGCCATTCTACTCATGTCGATGCTGATATGGTAGAACTGGCTGTAAAAAATTATATAACTATCTTGAAACTCCCACCTCATACATTCCATTTGCTACAGCCACTTGATGTTGCTGTATTTAAATCATTCAAATCATAATAGGACACGAAAGTTAGTTGAGTGGCAATGCCATAATATTGGGGAAAAATGCCTAAAATGTATTTCCTCAAACTTTTGCTGAGACATGGCAACAGTTATTCAAAATGGGTTCAAAAAGTGGAATTTATCCATTAAACCCAAATGTAGTTCCGCAAGATAAGTATGACGCAGCAGCTTTGAAAATTTTATTGAATATAAAAAAGTCCACCAACCCAGCTAAACCAAGCAGTTCCAAAGTCACTAAGGTTAATGTGCATTGATATTTTAAATAAAAAATTAACTATCAGCTACTCTACTTCTGAAAATAAGTGTACTCCAATTACTGAAGAGATCAGTCTTAAATCAACGAATATGAAATTATTGAGGCAAGTTTCATAAAAAGATAGCGAGTTTCTACCATTTGTGGCAAACCAAAAATCAGTATTACCACAATGCTTGATAAATCAGAAAGATGATCATCATATTAAAATCAGTTCTGAAGAACACGTGGATCCGGCGAGATAAAAAGGATAATACAAAAAAAACAAGTGGCTAAAGGAGCAGAAGTAATTACTCAGACTATTTTAAAACAAAATAACGAAAAAGAAAGAGATGCGAAAAAATCTCAAACGCCAAAAACGAATATTTTTGGCGTTTGAGATTTTTCCGAGCTTCCCAGACAAGATTTTCAAAAATAAAACTCAAAACTAAGAAGGAATCTGGCATAAAATTTAAAAGGCGTTCAAGTACTTACTCTATGAGTGATTTAATAAGCCCCGGAGTGGTGGTGATATAATAGAAAACAGTGAAAATTATTTAGATTTAGTGAACTGGGTTGAGGCTAATTTTCATACGCTAGAAATTAATAGAGTGTGCAGGGAATAGAGTGAATGGGGCAATACACTCTATTGTGAAGAACCAGAATGTATCAAAAAAGGCACGTATGGTAATTCATAATGCTGTGTTAGTCCCTACTTTAATGTATGGTAGTGAAAGCTGGGTGTGGCAGAAGAAGCACGAAAGTAGAATAAATGCTGTAGAAATGCGGTCTTTAAGGAGTATGTTAGGGTTGAATCTGAATGACAGAGAGAGAAATTGCGTGATAAGAGATAAATGTGGTATGCAAGATGATGTTGTGACCAGGATTAAGAAAGGAAGGCTTCGGTGGTTTGGTCATGTAGAAAGAATGAATGAGGAAAGAGTGACAAAGCAAATTTATATGGCAGATGTGAACGGCAGAGTCGGGAAGGGACGCCCTAGAAAAAAGTTTATCGACCAAATTGGCGATATTTTGAAAATGGGCCACGTTAAAAGTACCCTTAACCGACGAGCATGTATGCGTAGATATATGGATGTAAAGGAGGCGAAAGAGGTATGTCAGGATCGTGCCAAATGGAAGTCCGTAGTCTCTGCCTACCCCTCTGGGTGACAGGCGTGAGTGTTTATGATATGATTATTATGATAGAAATGAATAAAGAAAATTGGCAGTATGAAATGAAAAATACCAAAAAGAAGAATACATTACAAGAAATTTTTGATGAAAAAACCGGATATATACGCACAGTTATCACTGCCGTGGTAGAGAATAATTTTGACAAGTTGATATACTAACTCATAAATCAAAACAAAAAATACAAACCCAAGAAAACAAAGAAGTATGAAAATAGCTCAACCAATTCAGCAGAAGATATTATGAACCTCTATAGTGACAGTGATATAAATATTGCGGAAGATATAATATCGATTCCTGATGATGATGAAGACGAAGAGAAAATAATAAAACGAGTAGACAATAAAGAAGTCCCTATATTTGCTGACATAATGCATTTAGATGAAATCGAAAAGACCGATTTACAATCAGAGACTGAGACTAGTTTATTAGTAGTTTATTATCGTCTTTTAGGTCTAGACATAAAAGACTGGATAATAAAATTATCGTTGAAGATTAAGATTGCAAATCTGAAAAAAGGGTATTGAGAATAAAACAAAATAATTCTCGTAATATAGTAATTTAGGCGGAAGTAAATATTAATTAGGATATAAATCAGAAAATAAAGGTAAATCAATAATATTGAAAAATCAAGTTAAAGAAAATATAACATATGATCGCGGAGATACTATACTGGCTAGATATTATGAAAATAGGAAATGGAAATATTACGTCGGTTTGATAACGGAAATAAATAATAATCAGCTAGAAAAAATACGAAGTACCTTTTTATAAAACCGTACGCTGAAAAAATTTGCTAAAATTTTTAAACCCAAGGAGAGCTGATATAGATTGTATACCTGTCGATTTAATCGTTAAGGAAATTGAATTGATTCAAATTAAGGAAAATCCAGATAAATTCGTACTGAATGATCATAAAGATGTAGTTTATTTCTATTGACCAAAATACTTGCGACAGTTATTTAGCTTATAAAATAAAAATATGCACTTGATTATGGTCACAGACAAAATAGTGATTCCTAATTATACTAACAGCAATACTTTGCTGTTAGTAGTTACAAAGTGTAAGATAAGATATAATTCAAAAGCAATATGTCTTTCGTTCTGTTTTAAACGGAGAGAACTTGTCCCGAATATTTTTACTAACTAAAGGTAGAAAATGCTAGATGTTTGATTGTTGTACTTAGTGTGTTGTGTTTATTAAACATAAAAATTAATAATACCTACTAAAAATTAATAAGAGAGAGATTGACTCAACATTCAAGTTTGAACTGAAATTGTCATTTGTGTAATCTATTTATAGGTAGAATATTGTTTCATTATCATAATTCTTTTAACCATAAAATTTAAACATGACGCATTTACATTATAAATATAGATGATAAAAACAATTCCATTTTTAAGATATTTATTAAAACTAAATTTACTTCTTATATCAGCTGTTTTCTAACTTCACATCCAAGCAGCCGTATCGTTCTAAGAGTTCCTGCTTCTTCCTTCTTAGCAAGGCTTCTTCTATATCTTTCTGTGATGGTACGGCGACGAGCGACGTTCCAGATGGCTTGTCCGTTATATCGTCGTCATCTTCTATCCTCTTGTCGTCGGGCTGTAACCAAGGATTTTTTTTAATTTCTCATTAAAATTTACATGGGTATCGAGTAAAATATCTTTGTTTTTACTATTGAAACAGTTATTACGTTTTAACAATATTTTTTCAAAATTTTATAATGTTAATAACCCCTTTGTTGTCAAATCCCACACCTTTGAACAAAACAGTTGTTTCGTCGGTCATAATGAATACAGCAAAGTGAAATAGTTAGGAAGTATTTGCCTTTCTTTTTGATTATGTGTGTGCTTTCAAAGTAAAATTGAATACATTATTTGTACATATTTTTTATATTTATACTTATTTCCCACTTAGATATGGCCCAAAGTAAACGACACCACCAGGTGGGATTGTACCCAAGCAATCTTTTAATATCCAAAATAAATAAATTATGATAGATAATACAGTAATTTATTATGCACTCACGTCTTCTGGATATATATTCTCCTCTTCAGGTAAATCTTGACCTTCGTTCTGTTCTTTATTCCGCCTCCACTCTTCAATAGCTTGTGCTATAGCTAAAATTACATTCCATTAATTAAGTGAAGTCTGAACAGTTTAAAACAAAATTTTATTAATTCACCACACACAAACTGCTAAATTGCTTAATATATTACGTCAGATCTTCCTTAAATTTGATGCAGTTGGCACGCCTGGCAGGCTTGTTGGAGAGTACTCAGCAGTTTTTATTCACTTGAGTTATTGTAAGGAAGATTCTGAAATTAATTGTCTCATCTCATCGCAGATGCGGTCACCCGTGAGGACTAAGATGGAATGCCTCTTTTCCAGTAAATAGAGTCTCCGGTTCTCTACACTCACCATACGAAACACAGCAGTATTAAGCTGCTATTTTACGATGGTATTCTGTGAGAGCGTCGTCCTGTCCCCCGGTTGAGCCGACCCATTCGTGCTACACCTATACTACTAATATAGCTGCGACATGGCTCTACCACATATAAAACCTTATGAGGTTTTTAAAATTATCATCCTTTAAGGACCTATAGGTAAAAGTAAGTTATGAAGTTTTGCCGAAACTGTTTAGCTTACTAGGATTATCGGCAATGGAGAAGATAACCATTTTTTGTTTTATATGCCAAAAAATTACGAGAATAACCGTGTTTATAATTTTTTTCTATCTTCAAAACCGACCGAGGTATAAAGGCGCAAAGTTAACATTTTCGGTCCAAGCCCAGCGCGACATCGTTGAGACGTCACGATTTCCATCTTCGTGCAGGCGACCCGAGCCGCACTTAGAAAATCAAAATATTTACTCAAATGTGCCCGTCGCGCGCGGATCTACTTGCTATCTATTTTTAACAAGAAACATTATAGAACATGACACCAACTATTAAATATTGTGCTGTGCCTCAATGTAAATATACGGCCACAAAAAGTTTTTTAATGTGCCTAGAAACCCTACCATCAGAAAAAAATGGACAAATGCTATGAGAAGAGCACATCCTTTAGGACAAAACATGGTAGCATATTGTTGTGAGGATCATTTGGATGTAAGTATTCAAATAATAATAACCTTCACATGATAGCTCTTGGTTATTGCTAGTAGGTAAATGCTTTCTATTGGGCATGTACCTACTCGAGTCGCAGTGTTTAAGTAACTAACGATTCATTGAACCTTTCCACACTTAGTGATCATTATAATTTCAAGAAGAAACAATACCTAATACCTACATATTTAACTAAAACTACTTCAGTGTAAATAAACATCCAAACTTGGGTAAAGTACTTTCCTATGTACCTAATTAAGATAAGTCAATGACATGTCGTGAGTTTGTAAGTTTAGATACCTACCTATGTTTGCAGCAAATTTTAAAATGTTTATAATGCATATAAAGGTTAAAATATGGAATATGTTAATAAACGTTTTTATATTTTTACGACATTTCGTAAGCTGTTCAACCTGCATACTTTGCGGGCCGTAAATAATGGAAGAAGTTTGATTATGAAGTGGAGCACTTAAATTTTTTTTCGTGTTGTCCTATTTTTATGTATTACATAGTTGGTACATATTTTAAATATTGATGGAATACAAATTACGAGGTTCCTTATTTTTTTATAGACTTTAAATAAGTTTGTATTTTGTTCTAGGTCGAAAACGATATGGAAAACTACGTGAAGTACAAAACTAGGTGGTGATCCCCTCGAACTTAAAAAATATGTTTTGCCTCACAAGTTTGCTTGTCAAAATCGGTATACAGAAAACCACAAAGATGTTTACTACTAAAACTAAATGCCAAATCTAGGTCAGAAACAGTTGCACATGCAATTGCCACTACTTCACAAGAAATTGAGCATAGATATGCTGTCGATCCTGTTACTACTCTAGATGATAATATTGACATTGATCCCTTGCCTTAAGAATACATATATAACTACACTTTTAATCATAATAATAATGCGACCCCTTTTCTATTAATATTGAAAACATCTGATTTTTAGATAATATCATATTTTTATACACCGAAGGTATATTTGTAGTAAATTTCTTTATAAAATACAGGAAAATTTTTAACCATAAAAACCTCAAAAAGGTTAGGGTTCACTTAAGAAGAATAAGAAAACAAAACTAGTTAGAGGCAGATAGTAACTTACTATACTATTATATTACTTTATATTACTATTAGTAAGTAGGTAGGTAAGGAATGTTTACGTATTTTTCAATTAGCAAATGAAATTATTATTAGAAATAATTATTAGAAGTATTAATGTAATAATGGGTACCTAGGTTATAAAAATATTATCTTATTCTTATGCGTATTTCAGCCGTGACAAAATCTTTGTTTCTTAGAAAATATTCCGCCACCATCATGTCACGGACTATTGGAAGGTTGTCAGAAACCCTTCTTCCATCATTAACTACTTAAAAACACCAGAGCGCACGAGGGCAAACAACTCACCCGCGAAATATTACTACAAACGTATGAACGGCGCGCTGGAACGGTATGGCGGCGCGGCCGCATGGCAACGATGACGTCACGCGCAACTCGCGGGCACGGGCGAGATTTTAAAAATCTACGTAAACTTTCCACGTTTATAACTTCGGTAATAGTGCACTGATCGATGTGAAATAAAAACTAGAATTATGTGTTTGGTCTAGTCTTTTTACCTACGTACTTAAAAGTCTAATATTGTAACCTTGTTATCTTCTCCATTGCGATGCCCAATGTCGCTGATAAGTATTTTATTCTTTTTTTTTTTTTTAAATAAAACTAAAGAGACAAATGAACTACTACTTTTAATCTGGCCCATCATATATCGTCAATTTGGTCGATAAACTTTCGTCTAGAGCGTCCCTCCCCGACTCTGCCATTCACCAAAGCAACATAGATTTGCTTTGTCGCTCTTTCCGCGTTCATTCCTTCTACATGATCAAACCACCGAAGCACTCCTTTCTTAATCCTGGTAACAACATCATCTTGCACCTTTTGTATTAGTAAGAATTATGATCAACGGACAACAGCCTATGATGATTAATAGATCACTGCGACCAACAGACATGTTTGCGTTTGAATATTCATATTAGACGAAGGTTCAAAATAGAGCCATGGTCATTCTCGGGGACAAATAACTGTAATGTCTTTTATTAAATATTTGAGAATATCGATTTAGGTTATTTTTATTTTTACACGGGCAAGTTGTTCCGTACGCTTACCTTTTTTTTCTGCCTCCTTCTCCAAGGGCAGCAGCAGTCCATCGTCGTCGTCCCGGTAGCCGTAATAATCCGCGTCGACATCTCGCATGAGATCGGCACGCGTCCGTCTCGCCGGCGGCGGCGGTTCTTGCTCGAACAATTCGCGCACACCTGTTGGTTAGATTTCAATCTTAGCCCTTGACAATAAAGTTTAAATTACAATGCTGCTAGATTTCAACATAAGTCCTCTCACAACTACGCTTTTTTACTGACAGTAAACTTGATATGTCATAAATAATTTCAAGGGCACAAATGGAAGCGACACCTCTGGTTTGCAATCAAAAATTTAAATGTTGCATTATTTTTGAATGTGTGCGTTTGCAAGACGCTGACGTGCGCACACTAATGCAGCAGTATCATCTCTTATTATCTTACAGAAATTGTGTATACTACTTTCTCTGTCGCACAAATGTGCGATTGCGAATGAGTGAGCTCACTCATTTGAGAATGGACACATTTCGGAATGGTCGTACTACGGTGAGGGCGCATCTAACTATTTAAATCTTTGTTTGCAATAAGATAGATGTTGTTAAAAGCCATTCGGTCTTGCGGCCGCATAAGAGAATCCAGTTACCTGGTCACTGGTTCGTACTGTGGGTGTCGTAAAAGGCGAGAATGGGAAGCGTCAAAAAGATCTCATTCAATAAATGGTGGATCTTATTAACGTTATTAGGTTGATGCTGCTGGCTGCCCATCTCCCGCTTTATTTTCCCCACCACACAGTGAGTATCATTATCATCAGTCTATACCTCTCCAGTCAAAGATTTATAAGTGTCCCTCTAGTTAAGATGATCTCACGCAATACACGCTTTTAAGTTGAATGGCGATCGTAGCATAAGAAAGATCCGGTCTAAATATTATGTTTGTCAAATTTATTTGCAAAATTTTAACACTGTACTAAAATCAAACTTCATACCCGGTAAATCTTTCGCCGCCCCGAAGTATTTGTAGCCCCTATTACCAGGAACCTCTTTCCCATCTTGGTCGAGCATCTTGGGTCCAACACGAGCGTGATCCGGGCCGCCGAGAGCCTTTATCTGGACTTCCCAATGGCGTTTTTCACGCATCAGCTTGTTGATCTCATCATTTAAATCACGAATCCGAAATTCGCCCAGACCGGCTGAAAAAGACGATTTTAAAGTATATTTAGAAAGTAAGTAGTTTGAATAGTATCGTAACATTACTTTTAAATATGTGGTAGAGCCACGATGCAACTATATTATGGTTGTATCACAAATGGATCGGTTCGACCGGGGAAGGACCACGCTTTCACAGAATACCAGCGTAAAATAGCGGCTTAATGCTGCTTTGTTTCGTATGATGAGTGTAAAGAAACAGAGACCATTCTTACTGGTTACGATGCATTCAATCTAAGTTCTAAGGCGTGATAACGTATTTGCATTTTGATTCTTAATCGACGGCAAATATAGACGTCTACGAGCCACAGCATTCACTTACAATCAGGTGGAGTATGTTCGTTTGTCGACCCTATTCTATAAAAAAATATCGTTAGTTGGTCTATCTGTTAGTGATCGTGTAACTTCTAAGACGATAGTTCATGGCTAAGCTAGGATCACAATTCAATGCTCTTTAAACTGTGCTAGGACACAATAGGTGGCGCTGTTGCCATATTACACACATTATATTTACAGATTAAAGACTCATATTCACCATTTATGTCAGTTTACTGCCAAAAAATTACTTCTAATTCAAATTCAGTGTATGTAATCTGGACACGATAGGTGGCGCTGTGGTCGGCTTATTTATAAATATTACATTATAATTTTACATTTAAGTTTATAATTACATACCACACAAGGGCCATGGTAAGAAGTTTCAGAGCACGCGAACAAACCAGTTTCGATCCCCGGCGGCACCAATGAAAGTCTTAGTTGCAATATTTAATGATGATTTACCATGTGCTCGTCGGTGAAAGAAAACTCGTGTGAAAACTGGCATGTTGAGAAATTAACAAAAAAGATAATATTTCGAAGACATGTGAAATCCGCCAACACGCAGCGCGGCGGCTATTTCACCGCATAGAAGAGGCCCAGCAGTGGATCGAGTAAGATGTACCTTTAAACTTACATAAAATAATAGAAAATGAGTGAAACTTCTACTGGAAAGGTCAGAATAACGTCTTTCGGGTTAGCTAGTATATAATAAAACATCATAACATGGTTTTACAAATTAATTTTAAGGAATTGTTATTTATTTCTTGTTTTTCTTTTTAGCTTTTCCAAGTTTTGATTTGCTTTTCTTCTTCTTATCTTTCTGCTTCTTCTTTTTACTCTCTTTACAAGATTTCTTTTTCAATTCACTTGAACTGCATTGTTGTGAAATATGGTTGTTGCCTTCGCTATTGTTTGAAGGCGCTTTTGGACTTACGAATTCTATTTCCAAGTCAGTCTTTTTATCTTTCGTTTCCAACTTCTTCCCGATTTTGAGAATAAAAACGTCCTTTTGGGGGTGAACAACCTTTTCCATATTAACAGGTACTGGGCAATTAGACGGAGTAACATTTATGATTTTTTTATCTCGAGCATCACAGCATTTTTCTTTACCAAAGTGCGTATATTTTAAATTAGTAGAGTATGTGTTTTGCTTTTTACCGTTATAACAAAGATCTCTAGGTAGTTCAAATTGTATTTGATCACCAGTGTTGTACGGATTTTCTTCACATGAGCACAATTCCTGTATTTTATCATACTTTCCCATCCTCTCTACTTTCGTTGTTTTGGGAACTCTGATTTTTAATTCATTTGCATTCATTTTAGTAAAAATTTCATCATATTTCGGTATTCCATCTGAAATATACATGAATACATAAATTGTTCATAGACAAATTACACGTTTTTACCAAAATTGATAAGAAAAATATGTTAAACATCATCAAGAAATAGTATTATAAGAATTTATTGCAAAATTGAAATAGATGTTCAAGAAAGTTAATAAAAATATAATAACAATATTATATAATAAAAAAATAGATCAACGTGCTATTTTATTTACCTGATACGTGTTTACTTCCATAATAATGTTTCGAGGATCCACTAGAATACTGAGATACTGGACTATCCGGTCTTTTACTGTACATTGTATGTGCACTGTGAGGAATTTCTTTTTTAACAAGATAATCCTCATCTAGTAATACTTTTCCTTTACCGTCCAATTCAACATTTTGACAGGAATACATGGACATGCCATTGTCTTCTTTTTGCATTAGCGAAGTGCCATGTTGTTTAGGTGAAGCAATAAATGCGGTTGTTATCTCCTTTCCAAGAAACGACATTCGAGCAGAGATCTCAATAACGCCTATAGAATCGCTTTTTTCACTGTCGCCACATGATAAATAAAACATGTTTTTACTCATAGGCGTCGAAGTAGTGCATATGATATTGTCGGTTGGTTGTTCAAGCGCCCACTTCTTACAAAGTTCGTCACGAAGGTCAACAAAGTCTTTAGTATAATCAGCCCGAGTTTCGCCAACTTTCGTTATGCAACTCGAACAAGGTGGTTGTTTTACTATTTGTAGCTTAATTATGAATTCTTTGATGCTGCAAATCTTGTCGTAAGTTATTGCGAACAGTGCCGACTTTCCAACATTCAAATGAGTAAAATCATTGACTTTTCCGTACGATGCATCGTATAGTACTATGGGCTGTTTACCTAAGAACGATGCCGTTATTACTAAATTATTATAATCAAATTCGAAGCACTCGCATTTCATGTGTATTTTGTTTATTATTAATTCAATGAGAAACAGGTGATATGGAAAATTTACATCTTCTTCTTTAGCTGCGAGTAGCTCCATTTTGGTACGAGTAATATCTTCAGATAAACTTTTTATAGATTTCTTTAAAGCATTAGCTTCATTGGTTAAAATTTGGCTCATGTTTGTTATTTTATCGATGTTGCTATTTAAAACAGGAGAATGGGGTTTTCCCACATTCTTCGAAAGTGTTCTAACCGTTTCATTTAATTCGTCTACATGATCACTTATGTTTTTACCTTGAGGTTCGAGATCGATAATGGATTGAATAATATCGTCTTTACCTTTAACAGAGCTTAGACTTTTGGCGCTCGGGTTTTCAGGGTGTTCCATATTAATTTCCGGTTTCTTAACTTCGTCGCTCTTAATAGACGAGTTTATTGACATTAGCACCCAACTTTGTGGGTATTCCAACCTTTCCTTGTCCTCTACATTATTGACATTTAGCGAACCCAGAACTTTGTGGGTATTCGGCGTGTTCCATATTAATTACCGGTTTCTTAACTTTGTCGCTCTTAATAGACGAGTTTATTGACATTTTAGCGATTGACCCAGAACTTTGTGGGTATTCGGCGTGTTCCATATTAATTACCGGTTTGTTAACTTTGTCACTCTTAATAGACAAGCTTACTGAGGTTTGAGCAATTGATCCGGGATTCTGTGATGCTAGAGACAAAGGCGAGGTTTTACGCGGTGAAGAAAAGTCTTGTCGGCCAATAATAACAGGAGAGCGTGGACTTTGTAAAGATTGTTTCGGTGAGGTAACCACAGGCGATATACGGCTAGCATCAACTTCTGCGGGTTCAATATTTTCAATGGTATCAGGATCTGAAGTCAACTCATTCTGAGAGTGTATGCTAGATTCTCTTAAATTTTGAAGATTTAGCGGTTGTGCTTCTCCAATATTTTCTTCTGACATGTTGAATTAGGTTTACAGTCCCTTTTAAAATATTAAACTACCAATTTTACATTGTTGCGTTATTGTAACGGAGTTTACGCACCATAGCCCAATAGATTTGCAAAACGGAAAATTTAAATTTAATATTAACACACAAGTCTACAATAAATGCACCGTAAAACGGTTCTTATGTTACCGTTGATTATCAACGTTGTTTTTAAACGATGATTATAAAAACACATTGAAGACCTGTTCATATTTATAATTGTTAGACTTACTAGGGTAGAATGTAAAGATTTTTTTTGCCATTGCTGCCGTATCAAACATGAAAATTATAAACAATACTTATTTACCGAATAATTTATTTTTAAGTTATGTTTTTGGTGCGTATTGGCAGTGTAAGAATATCCACTAGTTCATATCATCCCGTGGGTGTCGCCAGAGGCGACAGAGAGAACCAAATCAGGAGATGGGCAGCAGCATCTTTCTAATTACGACTACAAAGAATGGGTGCGTTTGGCAGAAAAAAGCGCTAGCAAGCGCTTGTAAGCAAAATGGCGAAACTAAACAGTTTTCGGCCAGGACACGTTTGCTAACTTCAGTAGCGCTGACACAATCCGCCATTTTGCTTCTTTAATTTGTTTGTTTTGAAGTAGAGTTTATAAGTTGTTTTGTGCAATATGTATAAGTTTTAAGTAATATAATGACATGAATAAACATATTATACATGTTATTAAAAATTCATGATTGGTAAGCTTTTAATATGAATACTTTACAAACATATGTTTAAATTAGGTTAGGTTCCCCGGTTAAAACTAACATCGTGTCCTAGAGGAAAATAGCTACTTATCAGATGAAATCTGCGATGACAGACTGCTAAGTTATTAATTTTTAAAATCTTTAATATAATGGACTTCCGCATAGTAACACTAGATTCTATTAATTGTCCTATAATTTGTAAAATTAATTTTACAAGTTAAACAAGGCAGTCTAGTCAGAATTCAGTCAAAATTCCGCTCAAGACAACAACTGCTCGGGGCAAGCAGTGCACTACCATCTTGAGACCACGAAGCCGGCTATGCTCTTTCTGATCGAGACGCAGGTGTCCTCTCCAGCTTGTGCTTCGTATCTCTCCTAACCGGGGTACAAACTGGAACACTCCTTTGTCCCTCGGGCTGGAGTTTGCGTATATGTAGAAGAGGACATCTGTTATTCTCTATATATATAATCTGCCAATCTCTTTCTTTGCATCCAACTCAACTCTCGATAACGGAGGGAGCACATCGCCGACTATCCCGCGGTGTGAGTACTCCATGCCGGATGTGCGGTTCACACAGCACTCGGTTGGCAAAGCACTTCTCTCACTGGTCATCCACAAGTCCAGTGGGCCTGACGGAATCCTCCCAATTGTGCTGAAGACGTATGCTCCAGAGTTGGCACCGGTTCCAACACGTCTTTTACGGTACTTCTACTCCCTAGGCGTAGTCCAAAATCATGGAAGACGGCTTTCGTCCACCCGAGCCCTAAAAAAGGCGACCGCTCAGATCCGTCAAACTACAGACCTATCGCCATTACCTCCTTGTTCTCCAAAATAATGGAATCCTCTATAAACTGCCAGCTCATGCGGTACCTTGAGGGTCACCAGCTGATTAGAAACCGCTAATGTGGATTTCGTCGGGGTCGATCATCTGGTGATCTTCTAGTCTACCCGACTCATAGATGAGCGGAGGTAGTAGAGTCCAAGGGGAGACATTGACCGTTAGTTTGGACATTGCGAAGGCCTTCTTTCGGGTTTGGCACAAAGCGCTTCTTTCGAAGCTCCCTTCCTATGGGCTTCCCGAGAAATTATGCAATTTGATCACCAGCTTTCTTGCAGATCGGAGTATCAAGGTCGTTGTAGACGGTGCATGCTCCGATTACATCAACGCAGGCGTTCCACAAGGTTGCGTGCTGTCACCAACGCCGTTCCTTCTGCATATCAATGATATGTTGCAAACCGGTAACATTCATTGCTAAGCGGATGACGACACTGGTGACGCTCTGTACACCGGCCATACCAATATTTCTCTGGAAAACGTCTCCGACAAACTTGTTTCTGAAGTCGAGTTTTTGCTGAACAAAGTCTCGGACTGGGGGCGACTAAATCTAATCCAGCTTAATCCTCAGAAGGCACAAGTTTGCGCGTTAACCGCTAAAAAGAACCCCTTTGTCGTATCTCCTAAGTTTCAAGGCACTCCCCTTGTTGCCTCAGCCAGTAACGGAATCCTCGGCGTCAACATATCGAGTAAAGTGCAATTTCGTGGTCACTCGGAAGAGAAGGCCAAATTGGCCTCCAAAATGATTTAGCGTGCTCAGCAGAGCGGGACAGTATTTTATGCCAGCACACCGCCTGAAATTTTACAAGGCGTAGGTTCGGCCTCACATGGAATACTGTTTCCATTTCTGGGCTCTCTGGCTCCCCAGTGCCAGCTCCTTCCACTTGACCGCCTCCAGCGCAGAGCGGCTCGAATCGTCGACGACCGGGTGCTTTCCGATCGACTCTATTCACATTCAATTTCATGACCGCACTACACGGCAAAACTCCTGATACCATACCACATACCACACAATCTGGATGCTTGGCGGTCCACCACTGTACGTTTCACTAGGAGTTTTCTTCCTCGTACGACCTCTCTGTGGAATAGTTTACCACCGGCGATTTTTCCGGACCTATACGACTTAGGGACCTTCAAGAAAAGAACTTACTCCTTTCTAAAAGGCCGGAAACGCACCTACAATTCCCCTGGTGTTGCAGTTGTTCATGGGCGGCGGTAGTCACTTAACATCAGGTGAGCTGTATGCTCGTTTGCCCCTCTCCTATAAAAAAAAAACTTGTCACTAACTGTTCACACGTACTAATCACGTGTCATTTGTCAGTTGCACTTGCCACTAGCGCTTGTCACTTCTCAAAATGTAAACCAGTGCCCATGATTAAGTACGACATTACATGCAATATTCCTAACGAACAGTTAATGCTTACCTTGTTGCAATCGTCACTATTTAAAAAAATATTGAGCTACCATAAAACCATTGAGTCGTGGTAGCAAACCGGGTTCGATCTCTGCCGGCACCAGTGAAATTGTTAATTGCAATTTTAAGTGCTGATTTACCACGTGCTCGACGGCGAAGGAAAACATCGTGAGGAAATCTGCATGTCTGAGAAAATTAAAAAGAAATATATTTCGAAGACATGTAAAGTCCGCAAACACGCACCGGTGCAGCGCGATGGACACTTCCTTGCCCTAAAACCCTCTCAGAAGTGAAAGGAGGCCTGTGCCCAGGCTGTAACTTTACTAACTTTAACATAAAACCATTTATTTTAGGTAAATTGTCAGATTGACATTTTCCAAGCCAACAATTATAAACTTTTTAAATTAGATAGGAAAAAATTGCGAAAAAACAAGCGTGACCGATCAATGCGTAAGTACAGTGAATGTACGAGAAGATGACGTTACACCACGAGCACACGAAATCTCAGGAATTTGAAAAACCGCTCCTAACTTCTCGTAGTAACCACGTCGGTATTAATGCATGTATTGACGTGAAATAAAAACAAGTGTGATTTTAATGCCAAATTTTTACCTACTTGTCAGACTCATCATTGTATTTTTAACACTTTTTTCATCAGCCCACAAAAGTCGTGAACCTCTACTGTTGGGTGGATTTGCCTTTGGCTTATCTATAATCTATGCCGTTAATAGAATGAAGTCAATGCAAATTACTGAGAGGAAATAAATTGAATAGCTATTATTACTATTATTATCACTACAATGTTTCTCACCATTTTGTATCTGTGCGACCTTTTTAGCGATCTCCCTCACAATTTGCAGCCGCCATTTCTCGGCCTGCTGTAGATCATTGCACTCGGACGCGAGGTAGGGTCGCCTCTCTCGCTGCCCACCTGCCTCCTGCACCTGTGCCGCACGCCATCGTGCCAGTGTTGTCCTGATACATTAAAGCAAAAGAAATAAATGAACATGATTATAATATTGTTCTTTTTTTTATCCGCTCGTAAAAGTATACAGCTCGACATGAGCCTTTCCCACTATAAGAGGGGATTTGTCTTTAACGTCACGCTTAGCAGGTGGATTGACGACGATCACATCATCCTTGTCAATTTTAACCAAGGCGTCAGCTCCGGATACTACTGGAAGTTATCAATTCCGTTTTCCGTAATACATATTCTAAATGTGCCGGTACACAATGGTGTCGTGGCACTTGTTGGTCCTAACCTTTACGGTTTTAATGTTAAATTACATTAGGACGTAAGTCAGCTAGGATGTAATTACAGAGACACGAAGACGATTACAACACAACCAGAGCCGTAAATCAATGATATGTATTATTGGATAAATATAATTCGAAGAACCTAAAACTCGCGACGTAGCCATAGTTAACTTTTCATCTAACTGCATGACAAAGTTAAATAATCACAAAGAAAGAAACCCAGACTTTTGCATTAATACGGGATTTAAATTGATTTTTAGAGTGGCCAAATATGCTAGTCAACTCATTTCGTCACCTGGATATCATAGGAAACTACTATGGGAAATGTCAAAAAGATTTCATGACGGTTTTATGAAACTATTTTATTTACACATGTGAAAAAAAAACAGACCACGTCTAGTAAATTCTCCCTACAATGACTAATGTCCAGCTGTAGGTTTTACAGGATGATAAACAAAACTTATATAAGAAAAAAATAATGTATAAAACCAGCAGTGGAATTCTGTAACTAGTAGGGATCATTTAAATGTAATAAATAATTTATTACTTTGCAACCTTCCGCGAACTAATTACAATGATGTATCTTACCTGGATTGAAGAACACCTCCCAACCTTCCTCAATTGCATGCACTAACTCCGTCACCACTACTTCCAACACCACTATTCCAGGTAAGACACACCATCGACGACAATACGACACGTGTTTCGCCTCTACACGAGGCATCCTTAAGTAATGTATACTCTACGGAGACTGACCACTAAGTGAGCGGCGAGCCGAAACAGCTGCTATTTATACACGCCGACACAACCACTACCCACCAAAGTAGCGAGTGACCACGCCGCGCGATAACAAACCTGCGACTAATTGTTATGATTAATGTTTTTTAAATAATATTATTATTATTGTTTTTTTATATTGATATTATTATAGTTATTTATTATTATTAATTTTAAAATTATTATTAAAGATTAGCCGTAAAAATGTTTAACAAAGGTGAATTAGAAACATTTGTTTGTTCATTCAGCAGTGCATTGTTACCATTATTATTTTTTTAAATCGCCAACTGATATTGTTTAATAAAGATAAGTTAAAATAAATATTTTATTATAAATAAATTTATAATAAAATTTGTAATAATAAAGATAAGTTGAATATTAGCCAAAAATTGGGTGTTTGTAAACTTGTTTGTGACGAATGCCACGCCGTTAACGTGGGTCAGACTGGTCGCAATTTCGGGACGCGCTATAAAGAGCATTTGGCCGCGTACAGAAATTGCAATCCTGATAAATCCCATTTTGCTAAACATCTCTTGGACACTGGACACAACCTAGCCAGCGACCATTCCTTTGAAGTCTTACATACTTGTAGTAAGGGGCTGCGGCTGTGTGTGCTGGAACAGTTGGAAATTTAAAAAATAATAATGGTAACAATGCACTGTTGAATGTACAAACAAATGTTTCTAATTCACCTTTGTTAAACATCTTTAAGGCTATTCTTTAATAATAATTTTAAAATTAATAATAATAAATAACTATAATAATATCAATATAAAAACAATAATAATATTTAAAAAATACTAATCATAACAATTAGTCGCAGGTTTGTTATCGCGCGGCGCAGTCACTCGCTACTTTGGTAGGGAGTGGTTGTGTCGGCGTGTATAAATAGCAGCTGTTTCGGCTCGCTGCTCACTTAGCGGTCAGTCACCGTAGAGTCTACATCACCTGAGGATACCTCGTGTAGAGGCGAAACACGTGTCGTATTGTCGTCGATGGTGTGTCTTACCTGGAATAGTGGTGTTGGAAGTAGTAGTGGTGACGGAGTTAGTGCATGCAATTGAGGGAGGGTGGGAGCTGTTCTTCAATCCAGGTAAGACACATCATTGTAATTAGTTAGCGGAAGATTGCAAAGTAATAAATTATTTATTATAATGGATTTCCGCAAAGTAACGCCCGATTCTATCAATTATCATTTAACTGTGAAAATCGCTCCACAATTACATTCTTTTTCCATTATCTATACTATATACTACATTTTACCCGTAGTTTATTATATACATATATAGTATATATTGATTTAATGGAGCAGAAAAGTTATTTTGTTTGTTTGAATACGTTAATCTCCGGAGCTACCAGTCGATTTGAAAGATTATTTTTGTATATTATAGCTAGATTTATGTGAAATAAGTAGTATAAAGCTTAACATTAGACTCTCGGCCAGCCCTAAATATAGATTTTTGTTAAACAAGTCTGAAGAAAAGCTCTCCCGAAGGGGTTTATCCGTGTGCGCTGGTGTAATGATTAGTGACACCCAAAGACAATGTTCTACAAAAATATAGATCTTTGCTCAATCTAAAAAAGTCCACGAAACCATGTGCCTATTTCTTATACATAAGCCACAATAAGGTATTTTGTGACAGAAAAAATATTGAGAAAAAGTGGTTCATAAGCGTTATTATTAGACATGGCATATTAATCCTTACGGACTGTTAAGTGAAAGTTACTTTCTCATCAAGTCAATGTTATGAAGATGACGAAAAATTTATAGAGTAATTTTATATATCGGCATATTTTTATAGGATATTGTGACAAACGAGCACACACTCAACTTGATGATAAGTGGCTGCTGTTGCACATAGAGATCTACATCTATCCTCAATTGCGAATTAAAACGCAGATGCGTTGTCACCCGTGAGGACTAAGATGGAATGTCTAGTTTCCAGTAAAAAGGGTGTCCGGTTCTCTACACTCACCATACGAAACACAGCAGCATTAAGCTACTATTTTACCCGGTTTCCCGGTCGAGCCGACCCATTCGTGCTACAACTATACTTCTAATATAACTGCAGCATGACTCTACCACGTATAGAATAGCGTATAGTATATGTACGTTATAGACCAGTTACATTTTATGCACTCACCTTCCCCCCTCCTAGGTGAGCGTCACCCAAAATATACGTCCGGAATTTTCGATGAATGATAAAAAAATCATATTTCATGGTAGATTGTATGGCAATTAAGTGATATCGCTTTTGTATGTATAAGAGGTTGATAGCATACTAAATTAATCAAGGATCATTTCGTACCTACATACTTTTCATGGATTGTGAACAGTTTTCTTTAAAACTGGAAAAAAACCGTGCTTCGGGACACTTTCTGAGGCGCCGGGAGAGGGTGGGTATAGCGTTCACCCAGGAGGTGGAGGGGAGGGAGAGTGGAATAAATTCAACTTCGCTCTATAATGTATATATGTCGATTGATAAAAGTACAAGTAGTAAATTGCTATCTAAAACGCTTGAAATAGGTGCCATGTCATGTTATTTTTTTGTTTTTATAGAAGAGGGGGCAAAGCCGATGGTAAGTGATTACCGCTGCCCATGAACAGCTGCAACACCAGAGGGATTGCAGATGCGTTGCCGGCGTTTTAAAAACTTTCTTGAATGACCCTAAGTCGTATCGGTCCGGAAAAATCTCTGGTGGTAGTTGATTCCACAAGGAAGTCGTGCGAGGAAGAAAACTTCTTTTAAATCGCTTAGTGGTGAACCGCCAGTCATCTAGATGGTATGGATGGTATCGAGAGTTTTGTAGCGATGAGCGATGGTGAAACTGTGCGGCTGGAATTAGTCCAAACAATTCCTCAGAGCACTCCCCGTGGTATGGATGCGATAAAACACGCAAAGAGATGAAACATCTTTTCGCAGTGCCAGTGAGTCAAGCCGATCGAAAAGAGCTCGGTCGCCGACGATTCGAACTGCTCTGCGCTGGATGCGATCAAATGGAAGGAGCTGGCACTTGGTCTCGGTCCAGAGATGGGTACAGTATTCCATGTGCGGCCAAACCTGCGACTTGTAAAAGTTGCAGGCGGTGAACCGGCATGAAATACTGTCCCGCTCTGCTGAGCACGCCAAGCTTTTTAGAGACTAATTTGGCCTTCTCTTCCAAGTGACCACGAAACTGTACGTCACTCGATATGTCGACACCGAGGATTCCGATACTGGCTGAGGCAACAAGGGAAGTGCCTTGAAACTGAGGAGATACGACTAAGGGGTTCTTCTTAGCGGTAAATGCGCAAACTTGTGTCATGAGGGAACTAGGGATTAAACTGGATTTAGTCGCCCCCAGTCCGAGATTTTTTTCAACAAAGTCTCGACTATAGACACAAGTTTGTCCCGGTACTCGCGACGTTTTCCCGAGAAATATTGGCACGGTCGGTGTACAGAGCATTACCAGTGGTATCATCTGCATAGCAATGAATATTGCCGGTTTGCAGTGTATCATTGACATGCAGAAGAAACAGCGTTGGTGATAGCACGCAACCACAAGGTTGCAATAATCTGGAAGCAGAATTATACTTCTTTTTTAGAACGCTGGTATTTACATCCCGAGATGTCGATGCGCGAGCCCAGGCCTGGTAACACTCCTGCTTATAATGTAATGCAATTTGGCAGGAGCGACCAAACCAAGGCTGGGTTCTGCCTCCGATACCACAGGTACCACAGATGATGGAATAAATAGTTCCATTCCCAGTAGCACCACATCAGCAACAGAATCAGCAACAACGCTGGCATCATTCGGCGAGAAGCAAACCCGCCTCCAAGAGTAGGATGCAAAAAAAGATCACACCCCGTCCCAATCGGCTGACCTATAATGCAAAACACGGAGGCAACCTGCAGTGGAACCCGCGATGGGAGCGTGAGTGGCACTGTACTTTGGATCAGACAATGGTCTGAGGAGCCAAGAGGGACATCAACGGAGACCCGATATTCGTCCGGATGAGAGGTCAGCAGAAGGTCCAACAGGAAAGGTACATGATCTTCCACATCTGGCATCCGCGTAGGCGAGGTAACCAGTGTGTCAGACCATATGCCAAAGCAGTCATAAACAGACCTACCCGCATGATCGGTTAAACGAGAACCAAGCCAGTCAGCATGGTGGGCGTTAAAATCACCAAGTATAACGATCTCTGCGGATGGGACCTGTTGTAGCACGGAGTCTGCAGCTATCTGGACGTGATCGATCAGTCGGTCTGTGTCGGCATTACCGCTATGGGACCTATATAGGCACCCATAGACGCGGGGATGGTCGTTGCTGTCTACGCGTAGCCATAAGATGGACGGGTACCGTACCTTCAAGGCTGCCGGGGCGTCGAAAACAGATGTCCTCTCTGACGTACACGCAATTTCCAGCCCGGGGCACAAGAGAGATGTTCTAATCTGTACCCCGGGTAGGAGAGATATGAAGTGTTAGCCGGAGAGGATACCCGTGTCTCGGTTAGAAAGAGCAAGGCCGGCAGTTTCCAGATGGTAGTAGACAGCGTTAAGGTTTGAATGAAGTCCCCTGATGTTGCAAATATCCACGGAAAGCGTGGCAGGGGCACCTTTGACTTATTGCTTCGTTTACCCCGAGCAGGTTTAGTCTCGAGCGGAATTTCGCCCCCCCTCTCCCCAGAATACGAGGGGCAGCCTGAGCACCCACCCATGTTGCGCAGTTCAGATGCATGATACATTATAATTTTCTAAGCCCAAAATAAGATATCAATAAAAAAAGAAATTGAGTTTATAATTGATACTGATACATTTACACTATACAACAAAAGCAAATGTTTCATGTGAAAACTAAGTCAACCACAATTCCCCATCATAGTTACACAATTGCACTATTGATTACTTTTATCTAAAACTTATCCACTATTAATAACACTCATCAATATAATCCAAAAATAATAATTTAATATTTACTTACATAGCTTTTTCAGCATTTGAAAACTAAGTCAACCACAATTCCCCATCATAGTTACACAATTGCACTATTGATTACTTTTATCTAAAACTTATCCACTATTAATAACACTCGTCAATATAATCCAAAAATAATAATTTAATATTTACTTACATAGCTTTTTCAGCATTTCTGGCCTGCAAAAAAAATATGAATAATCTTACTTTCATGATAATTTTTGTTTGTAAACAGCCAAACATTATAAACATAGCCCTACCTCAATATTTTACGATTGAGGTAGGGCCACTTTACTACCCAGGAGTACACCACCCTCTTCTCTTACCTATTTCTGCCTACAAGCAGCAAGGTAACCAACCCAAGTTTTATTATGAATGATAAAATATCCAGTATAATTGCAGAGTATGCGGCATTTCATTTAAGTCCAAGTCCTCAGGGCTGACAATGCCTCTGAAGATTTATTTGAGTTTAATGCAGAAGTCAACAATGACTAGGCGGACAGCTTATTAGCCTCCCCGACATTATTAAAAAAAAAACTAATCCTAATTTGACAGGAGAACAATAAGAAAATGTACAATATATATATATATATATATATATATATATACACTCACCGGCACGGAAACTTGGCCACTCGTGAATTTGCTGATTATTTGCACTGAAACGTTTTTTTAACAGTAAATTAAGGGTAGATGCATTCAATAAGTGTCTCTAATGGTTTTAGAACATAGAAATTTAATGTTTACTTCACCGAAATTTTTCTTTTCAAGATAACATGTTTTCACTAAAATTAACATCTTTCCATTGTCACTTTAAAAACACTACAAAGTTAAAAATTAAGTCTGTTTCTTTATTGTCTATGAGTTTTAATATCGGGTGTTTCCTCCTCTAGCCCTGATAACCGCTTGCATTCGATCTGGCATGCTTTGAATGATGTTTCTGACATCAACTTGCGGTATGCTGTCCCAAGCGGCCAGCGCTGCATTTCGGAGCTTATTTAGAGTTTGTGGCGGTTTGGAGCTGGACTTTATCTTTCTTTTGAGCATACCCTATACATGCTCAATTGGATTTGAGTCCGGGCTACGAGCTGGCCACTGTAATTTTTGTATTCCAACCTCTTCCAGATATTCCTCTACACAATGTGCGACGTGCGGGCGTGCATTATCGTGCATGAGGAGGAATTGGTCGTGTCCAATGAATCCCGAATAAGGCATTACGTGCTCCTGAAGAACTTCCTCGATGTATCGAGTAGCTGTAAGCCGATTATCGACGATGACCAACTCTGTACGTGCGTCGGAACTTACATCTCCCCATATCATTATTGAGCCTCCATGGAAACTCGCAGTTTGGGTGGTGGTAATGGGTAGAACCCTCTCTCCTCTTTTTCTCCACACTCGTTCTCGACCGTCTGGAGCACGTAAAGCTATTCGACACTCATCTGTGTACAACACTCTAGCCCATTGCTCGTGGGTCCAATTGACATGTTCTCTTGCGAACTGAAGTCGGGCTACTCGGTGCTGTCTGAGAAGTTCTGGACCTCGTGCTGGTCTACGAGCTTTTAAATTCACTTCCTCCATTCGTCTTCTCACCGTACGCTCACTAACATTAACGTCTCTTGCGATTTGGAGCCGCTGGCGTATCTCAACAGCGGTCAGGTAGCGGTTTCTCAAAATCTCCATAACAATAAAACGATCGTCCCGGGCCGATGTGCACCTTACGCCCCCACTGCCTGACCTGCGGGTGTAGCGGCCTGTCTCCTGGTATCGTTTCAGTGAATACTGCATTGAGGACCGTGGTACATTAAGCACAATAGCAACTTCACGCTGTGTCAGCCCTTGGTCAATTAATGCTACTGCTTGTGCAACTTGTGCTGGTGTTAATGGCATTTTTATTGGCTTTAAAGCACCTTTAGTTATTTAATTAAGACACAAGATCACAATAATTGAATAACCTTACAGTAAACTTTTCACAACACACAAATTTAAAATGTGAACTTAGTCGCTCAAATGACCCGATTCAACTAAAAATTAAAGAATTCGTCATGGTGCACTTAAACATAATGAATTACCCTCTTGAACTTGAGGGTAAACATTTTTTGACATACTTGCATAACAAACATTCATCAGAAACACTTAAAGCTTTCGCTATCGCGAGATAACCGCTTGGCCAAGTTTCCGTGCCGGTGAGTTTATATATATATATATATATATATATATATATATAAAATACAATTGATGGCAGGCATCAATTTAATGGTAATGAGGAACTAAGGGGTAGACAGGAAGGTGGGAGAAGAGAACTGCAACTTGATAAAAAATAAATCAAACAGAAATAATTACATGTCTGTAAGTATTTCTATAGATAGCACCATGTACAAACGAGTGATGTGATATTTATATTGACAGAAATAAAATTAGATATCATTTTAAAACATAAAGTCCACATAAAACATTGTCTTTTTAGTTAATAAGATTGTCCTATTACTAAAAAAATTCATTCTTCCATTATTTTAAACAAGTCAGTCCCATTATATCTTTATAACTAAATAACACAAAATATATTGCTGTGTAGTGGTGGTTGAGAATATCCACTACCCCATATCTTCCCGTGGGTATCTATATAATAAAAAACTGCGTTTGCCAACCCGCTCGCCAAGCGTGGCAACTATGGCAAATATCCCCCCATGAATAACGACGCAAACAAATGGCCCCCAGTCCCCGGCGGCCCCGTTATTCCTGGCTACGGTGGCGACTATGGTAACGGCGGGGCAGGGGGTGCTAAGAATCTCAAAGGTGGAGGTTCGGTTGCCACCTACGACGACTCAACTTGGCAACATATAATGCACGCACCCTGAGGACTGACGAGAAGATACTGGAGCTGGAAGAAGAATTAGACAAGTTGCGCTGGCATATTATTGGATTATCCGAGGTCCAAAGAGAGGGGGAGGATACAGTAATCCTCGAGTCTGGCAACTTGTTCTATCACCGGGAAGGCGACTATCTGTCCCAAGGAGGTGTCGGATTCGTCCACAAGTCTCTTGTCAACAACGTTGTAAAGATTGGGAGTGTGTCGACGAGGGTCGTGTATGAGATACTCAGAATCACCAAACGGTATTCACTGAAGGTCATACAGGTTTACGCACCAACCTCTGCACATCCCGATGAGGAGGTGGAGGAAATGTATGAGGATATTTCTAGAGCCATGCAGTCTACTCTTTCTTTCAGAAGCGGCCCCACAGGAAGTGGACCTCGTCGAGCCCCGAAGGTTCGACAAAGTATGAGATTGACTTCATTATGACGACCAGACGCCAAATGTTCAGTGATGTCTCAGTGATCGCAAGGGTGAAAACTGGCAGCAATCACCGAATGGTTAGAGGCACACTGAACCTGAACGTTAAGTTGGAGAGGTCTCGTCTAATGAAGTCAACGCTCCATCCCCCTCGTGCTCTGATCCAGAAACCCGAAACCTTTTAGCTCAAGTTACGTATCCGCTTTCAGTACCTAGAAGATTGCAATGCAGTGGACGATATGAATGACAACCTCGTGGAAACTGTCCATGCGGTTGGAGCTAAGTACTGCAAGACCGGCCGCAGAAGAACACAAAAACTCTCCAATCACACTCTTAATCTCATGGCTGTTAAACGGGAGATCAGGCTGCAATCGTCAACAGATTTGACAGCATAAAGGCAACTGAACAGACAGACACCAACTCCATATGCATGCGGCGAGACTTACGCAAATTTTATACGATTATATATATTATTGATACGATTGAGCGGAACCAGGGCTCCAAAGTCTTTGCCAGAGATCTGTCTGCCAGTAAGAGCCAACTGTGAAAGCTGAGTGTGGCAACATCATTTCCGGGACACCTGAGATTCTGAGTGAGATAGAGAGGTTCTATGGGTAGCTGTACACATCATCGTTGGAGCCACACGCAAGTGTGAGTAACGATCCAAGAGCAAGTCTTATCCAATACTATTCCAATGATATCCCGGACATCAGTCTGAGCGAGATTAGAAAAACGGCAAGTCCCTGGCCGAGGATGGAATTACAGTGGAACTTCTGAAAGCGGGTGGAAAACCGGTACTTGAAGTCCTTCAGAGGCTCTTTAATTCCGTCCTCCATGGTGGCACTACTTCGGAGGCGTGGAGCAGAAGTGCGGTGGTCTTGTTCTTCAAGAAGGGTGACAACACCTTCTTGAAGAACTACCCCCATCTCAACTCAACACTTCCAGTCTCCCGAACGACCACGATTACGAAACGATTCCGAAAGCCGGATCCCGAAAAGGCTTTAGTACCATAGACCACATACATACCCTTCGGCAAATTGTACAGAAGACCGAAGATTACAATCCGCCACTTTGCCTGGCATATGTGGTCTATGAGAACGCCTTTGATCCCGTCGGAAATTTGGGCGGTGCTACAGTCTCTTCAGCGGTGCCAAGTTGACTGTCGGTATATCGAAGTGCTGTAGGGCTGCGATGGCTATTCGAGTATGGAACCAGAGTATGAAACCTATCCAACTGCACAGAGGTGTACGACAGGGTGACGTTATTTCCCCGAAACTCTACACCGCTGCATTGGAAGACATTTTCAAGCTACTGGACTGGAAAGGATACAGTATTAACATCAATGGCGAGTACATCACTCACCTTCGATTTGCCATCAATATAGTCCTTATGGCAGAATTGCCGGAGGACTTAAGCACTATGATCAATGACCTCAATAGTGCCTCCCACCGGATAGGTCTTAAGATGAACATGGACAAAAAATGATCATGATTAATGTCCATGTCACACCTATGCCGGTAGTTGTTGGGAGCACTAAGCTTGAAGTTGTTGATGAGTATGTTTACCTGGGACAAGTAGTCCTAGGTAAGTCCAACTTCGACCGTTCAACTTAGCTGGGCAGCATTCGGGAAATTACGACACATCTTCTCGTCAGGTATAAAATTGAAAACTAAGTTGTACAACCAGTGTGTGTTGCCAGTGGTGACCTACGGAACCGAGACATGGTCCTTCACTGCTGGCCGTACGAGGATGCCAAAGTCGCTCAGCGAGCTATGGAGAGGGCTATGCTCAGAATTTCTCTGTGTGATTAACTTAGAAATGAGAATATCCGCAGTAGAACCAGGGTGACCGACATAGCCCAATGGATTAGTAAGCTGAAGTGGCAATGGGCCGGCATATAGCTCGAAGAACCGACAACCATTGGGGAAAAAAGGTTCCCATGTGGCAGCCTTGTACCGTTAGGCGAAGTGTAGGGCGACCCCCCGCTAGATGAAGTGACGACCTGGTAAGACAAGCAGTAAGTCGATGGATCAGGTGGCTCAGGACCGTGCTTTGTGGCATACCTTGGGGGAGGCCTATGTTTAGCAGTGAACTTGTGAAGGACTGTAATGATGATGATGATGAACACAAAATAATTTAATTAAATAACTTATATAATATACTAAATAAATGTTACACTATTTGAGCATCACTTGACAGTGGTTTATTTTATAATGAAATCACAACAATACTGAACATTACTCAATTTCATCAGTATAGTAGATATTGCAACTTTTCTTCTTCATATAAAACAAATATATCAATGATTAAAAATAATTTAATAGGAAATTTGTACTGCTTTAGTCCTTAAAATTAAGTAAAACTAATTAAAAAGCAGTTGCAAATCCAATATTGTTAGTAAAATTATAAAGCAACAACACAACACAAAATGTAAACAACACTATACATACCATTTTGTAAAATGGTGAATTGGTAAATAGTTATAAATCGCCCTTAAAGTTTCTAAGTTTTTAAATAAAATTGTAGGTTATAAATAGCTTATATACTGTTGCTTTTCTATTTTTGGTATTTATCATAATATCCTGAACGTATAATACTGAAAGCTGTGCTCCACATGTGTTTCTAGTTAGTTTGAGCGGAGCTTAGATAAGGAGTGGAGTGTGCTCCCGACTATAGAGAATAACTTATTCTTGTTATGTCTTGGACGAAGAAATTATTCAGATTATTTTTTAATTTATAGAAAAGTAGAAAACTGAAAAACTGAATACGAATATTCTGCAGCTGAATACTAGGACCATAGATTACTGCATAGCATTGATTACTGTATACTAGTATATACTCACAGACTACTAAGAGGATACATAGAGACTGCATAGATTACTGACTATTGGATTATAATATATGCACTCGATATATTGGATCGATCCAAAACATCTGATATCGATACTAGTAATTTATCCGATATATCCTACAAATTTAAAAGTACACCCTTTCCGCATATACTCTGAACATAATTTAACAAATGAATTTACAGAAAATAAATTCAGAGTTATTTTAGGAAATTAAAAGTCGTGGTATATATTATACGTGGTAGAGCCATGCTGCAGTTATATTAGTAGTATAGTTGTAGCGCGAATGGGTCGGCTCGACCGGGGAAGGACCACGCTCTCACAGAATACCAGCGTGAAATAGTAGCTTAATGCTGCTGTATTTCGTATGGTGAGTGTAGAGAACCGGAGACCCTTTTTACTGGAAACGAGGCATTCCATCTTAGTCCTCACGGGTGACAACGCATTTGCATTTTGATTCGTAATCGAGGATGGATGTGGATGTCTATGGGCCACAGCAACCACTTACCATCAGGTGGACTGTGTGCTCGTTTGTCACCCTATCCTATAAAAAAGAAAAAAAAAACGATTCCGTATATATTATTAGCTTGCTACATACCTACTTATTTATGTATATTATTCTACTCTATGGCGTATACAATAGCTAGACAGAGAACTGCTGTGCCCGTAGACAGAGAAACCTATAGACTAATTATTAGCGTGGCCTCGAGTGAGAAAGGACGATAACGTAGTTTAAGGTGCTGTGCCTGTGCGAGCTGTGCGAGCACTGATTATTTATCAAATTAGTTATACTAATTCCGGAAGAATGTTGTGGTCACAGTACAAATCCACGAACGCAAAGACTTTAATGTGCTTGAAATAAAGTTCATTTTTCTTTATTTTTATTGAATGACAGAATTAGTAATAATACAAATAAAACTGCACTCTTAAAAGTCTTATTGCCTTAAGTTACGGTCCATTTCAGTTTGTTTTGACTGTACAGATTATTTTTGGGATAAAAAATTACTTATATTAAAAACGATAGGAATCGATTCAGTAAACGATTCTCAACAAACTGCTTTCTCAAAGTGCGTTAATTATGTTACGTGTTGAATATAAGACACATAGATATTTTATTTTCTTTCAAGTAAAATTATAATATCGCCACCTACTTCATTCTATAGGTAGTCGCTTACCGAACAACTGATTGACACCCAAGGTACGTAAAATAGACGCTAGATGGCCTGAGTTTATGAAATCATGATTTTTTAATGAATTTTTTTCTTCAATATGGTTAATTGTATTTGTTATTTTTTTCGTAAAATAGACGCTAGATGACCTGAATTTATGAAATCATGAATTTTTAATCAATGTTTTTTCTTGAATATGGTTAATTGTATTTGTTATTTTTTTACTGTTTACTGCTTCTGCCACATGGCCTCCATTTCTATATGAAAATCATAGATTATGAAAAATAACCATACAGATGGGAAACTTACGAAACTACCTCTACTACCAGTTTTGATGGTTCTTTTTTATTCAAATTAGTATTGCTTGGATTCCATCAAGTCCGGAGCTAAGGACTCATCATAACTAACAAAACGAGCCCAAGCTCGGCACACTTAGTTCTTACTCGTCCAGGAGTTCCCGTAGTCACTAGTTCCGTAGTCGTATCACTAAAGTACACTTTCAGATCACTCCATCAAGACCGGAGGTAAAACCTCATCATAACTAACAAAACGAGCCCCAACTCAGCACACCTAGTTCTACTAGGCGAGGAGTTCCTATAGCGGTTACCAAAGTACACCTTCAGGTCACTCCATCAAGTCCGGAGCTAAGGACTCATCATACCTAACAAAACGAGACCAAACTTGGCACACCTAGTTCTACTAGTCCAGGATTTACAGTAGTAATCACCGAATTACGTATTTAGGTCACTCCATCAAGTCCGGAGGTAAGGTCTTACATAACTGACAAAACCAGCCCAAAGTCCACAGCTAACATTTCACTGCCAGTAGAGGGCTTCCAGTGCCAAGCAATCTCTGGAGTAGGTATTTGTATTTCGTATCTAAGTCTAATTACTCTATGTATCTAAGTATATTTTGGAGGTATAAGTAATAAAAAAAATTTAATCTTGCAAATTATCAAAATAATTTTATTTGACTACGATTCCCGCAGCCAACCGTGCGTACACTTGTGTGTGTGACCCGTGTCAATATAATAGTTCGATTCTATACCTATCAATTTTGTAAACGCGTCCTTAAACGACATATTTTAATCCAATTATTTTGAAAATATCTAAAGAAGTCTTCGACATTGTTAATGTACTTTTAAAAGTACAGGACAGCCACTAATTTTTACGAGTAGATTAATTTCTCTTCGAATGTTTATACTCTTTTCGATATCCCTTATATAGAACTTACTAAACAAAACGATTTAATATCAATTTTACCTATTACGAAGTTGCGGTTTGGATGTTCTTCACTACTTGTTTATTCCATAGGCACACGACACCTTCGTACCTTGTTGAACAAAACGTGTAAGCGACGCCATTTCGGGGGCGTTTACGACTTTTTTCTCGCGAGTATTGAGTTTTCTTCCTATCTCATTTTCACCCACGTTAAACCTAATTTATGTGTTTGTCTCTTCTTACTGTCGCTTTTTCGTTTCACAGACTTTCAAATTACAACGATGGTTATCATTACAGTTATCAAAAAAATATTTACTATGTTTTAATTAATCAAGTTTACGACCCATCGAAGTCTGGAAAAAAACCATTCTACTTATTTTAAAAATCAATCTACAATCTATCAAGAGTCTACCTATTGTCACTATTAGATATCAATAAAATAATTTACTGTTTTTTATGTAACTGTTGCGCGCCACAGTTGATGTCACTAGCGCCATCTGGTATCAAGTATCAGAAATAGATGTGTCAAGATCTTTCTGGAACTCTCCCAACAGCGCCATCTAGTAACGAATAGAAGAATTAGGCTTTCTAGAAAAGTCCTCGCTCGAACTTTCCGCACTTAGTCGGTCGGGACCGGTATTTACTGGAACATTCTGGATGCTTCGGTGGAAAAGGTGTTTTAAAGCCGCTGTAAGCCGCGATCGGCCCAGTATTGAATTGGCAATACGAGCGAAGATTTCGGAGTGAAATAAAGTGAACTAAAGTGAACTAAAGTGTTAAGTGTGAATAATTATTAGTGTGATTTAAGTTTTAATTGGTGTTCAGTAATTAAAGTGTCAATTTTCGTAATTCAATCGGCATTTGAGGTCTTTGTCCACAAGTAAAGTCAAACACAAAATAACAACCTGGCTGCTACATGCTTCTTATCAGGAAACGGAAAACTTACTTTCCTTTCATAGTTGACCCTATACATGCACACGCGTAGACTTACACTCACTCACACACACGCGCAAGCACGATCCCCCCCCCCCCACACACAAACACACTCACACAGACACACACACCACACACCCACACGCACGCACACACACTCGTTCGCACGCACACAAGCACTCCTAAAAAAAAAAAAAGAGAAAAAAAAAAGATTTATTTTTCGCTTCATTTTAATTTAATCGGAGTTCTATGTATTTATCGGTGTAAACGGTGTCAGTCAATGTTCTTGGTTCCTGCGATACAAGCCTAGAGCTTAGTGCAGAAACCAGTGTATTGCTTAATTATGTAATGTTTTTTGGTTAAATAAATACATTTTCTATTTTCTATTTTCTAGTTCTTATTGTCACGAACTTTAAGCTGGTAACATAACCAAGCTTATGGCCTATCGAAGTCTGAAAAAACCATCATACATATTAATATAACCAAATCAAACTAAATTAACAAGTTGTCGTTGCTACCATTCGCTAATTAAGGTAGGCAAATGTCTTATACCATACAGGCAAGTCTGATCTGAATATTGTTCCAACTGAAATATTTTTAATTCCTGGTTTCTCGCAGTAGTAAGATAATTTTTTTCATGATTTCGATGACTTACATTTATTCATTCTTATACCATTATTTCTTTTACAGAATATAGCATCTTCACCATGGCACCGAATAAAAAAAGTATTGTTTGTTAATACTATAAGAAAAATGACGAGAAAACTGCCAAATGCAAACTGTGTCAAAAATGTTATAACTGCTGGCAATACTTCCAATTTAATGGCACATATCAAAAACGTTCATAAAGCTGCATACTTGGACATTTTTCCAAATAAAAAATACAAAAAGTGACATGGAAAAAATATTTAGATTTTAATTCATCAGTCACTGGTACTTCAAAACAAAATATTATTATAGATTCGCAATGTAGGTTCATGAAGTTGGCACCCGGAAATAATTATTAAAAATACGACTAGTATAAATCGGTTGCGCGTAAAATATGATGTTTATGGAATAGGTCCACCAGCCCAGTCCACCTGATGGTAAGTGGATGTTGTGGCCCATAGAAATACACATTTATTTTCGATAAAGAATCAAAATGTAGAAGCATTGTCATCCCCGATATAAGATGAAATATCTCGTTTCCAGTAAAAAGAGTCTCCGGTTCTCTACACTCACCATATGAAAGACATGAGCATTAAGCTGCTATTTTACGCTGGTATTCTGTGAGAGTGTTGGA